ACTGCAATGCTATTTGTTATCTTTATGCGCTGCCTGCTGTCACTCGGGGCGCACTTCCTCCTCGATGGCGATGCAGAATTGAGCATGAATTGAGCCTTTGCATGCGCCAGTGACAAACGATGATGCTTCCGTGCTCATCTCTCCATCGGATCTGCCCAATCCCCCCGTCGAAGACCCATCCAGATTGGCATAAATTCTGGGCAACATGCGAGGAGGCTGAAGGGGGCGATTTGTGCCACAGCCCGCTGGCTTTCATTTCTAATTTTTGCATTTGGTCCATGGCTACCGATCGGCCTGGAGTCGCGATCCCTGGCCGGCGATGTTTTAGCGCATTTTATTGCTTTATTTGAGAGTTTGGCATTGCAACGCTTGTCAATTTTACAACTTTATAGAGGAGAGCTCTTATCGTTTGCATATTTATGCATGATCTCCGTTCGATAGCCGGCACATAGCCTCCCCGCACCACCAGCCCAATCCGATTCTTATGCCGATTCCCGATCCTATTCCCGGGGCCATTGGCCATGTCTCTTAATATTTTTGACATATTGGCCAGAACCGAGTCAGAGCCAGAGCCAGAGCTAGAGCCAGAGCCTTGGCCATAAGTCTGGGCCCTGGCCGAGAAGCCTCTTATTGTTGTCCGCTCCTTCCACAGAAATTTTCACAGAAAGGAAACGGCAACAACAACGAGAACAATCTCAAAGAAACCCAGCTCGAGTCGCCTTGAGTCCGCTTTCAGTGTCTGCGTTGCCTTTTCGCATTTGAATTGCAAATCCTATTATGACTTGTGAAATTATAATTTTTCTAGTTGCCTGACTGAGGTCCCCTGCCTCTCCCCGCTTCCCGCTCCCTGCTCCCCCATATCCGTGGGTAGGTTCAAGTCCAGGGCCCATGTCCATGTCCAGTCATAACCGCAGAAGGTTCAATAGCATGAATTATGCATATGCAGACGGTTTCTTTTGGTTTCGTTTCGTTTCGTTTCGGGAAAATCACAAGCACACGCATCCACATGCACTTAGTTATGATAACGTTGCACATTTCTGACTTCTCAGACTCCTAGACAGAAACAGAGACGCAGCCTCAGACTCGAGCTCTTCATATTTGTTTTGGCCAGCAATAACGCCCCAAAAGAACAGCATCCGCAGCAAACACTGAAAGAAATCTTCGACCGATTTACCTTAAGGTGAGCCAAATGTAGTTAAAATTTTACATTAGACACAATTTGAAATTTGTAAGAATATAACATACCAAATTATGAAATTTTGTATGAAAGTGATAATGTGAATTATGTCGACAATATCCACAAAGAAACTTAACGAAAATATGTAAAAAACTCCCGCAATTAAGTGGCTTTTAAGGGTCAGAGCTATATTTTTAAAGCTTACGAACCATTACGGATCCTCAATTCTGTCACACAGGTTTCTAAAAAGTTTTTTTTATTGCTCAATGAATTCCAGGAAAGTATCCTGCTGAGTAATCAATAAAACTTATTATGCAAAACTCTTTATTTTTCGTAGAAATAAAAATTTAATTTCTGTCTGAAAAATGTTTTGATTTATTAACGAATTGCGTTATGAACATTACATTAGTACTGAAAATTCTATAGAGTGGCCATATCGTTTATTATTTTATAATGCTATAAAGGTTTCCATTTAGCAAGTTTAATGTACATCTTAAAGTAAGAGGCTATAAATTTCAATAAAGAAAAAAATTATCATAACTATATTTTTATGTTCGGAAAAGTTTTTTCGCTTTAACGTTATAATAATAATAAAAATAAATATTCATGGCAATCGCCTTGTTAACTTACAAATTGGTGACCCTCATTTCTCCCAGTGCCGAGCGTATGCTTTATGCGTAGCAGCTGCTGGCAGCATAGATGGAGATGGAGTTGGAGATGGAGACGACTCTGACGACGCCCCCTCTTTTGGGCTGCTACCGCAAAACTCGGGCCGCAGCTCTTTTGGCCTTAACTCGGACTGAAGCTCGGACTGAAGATGCAACTGGTGCTGGTGCTGGTGGTGCTGTTGCTGGTGCTGATGCTGATTCTGGGCTGCTTTACTGCAGCAGGCTTTGCTGACAGAACAAAGAAGTCGTCCATTTGTAATTGTTGTTCCTGATGCTGTTTGGCTGTTTTCGTTGCTGTTGCAATAAGGGCAGCACAGACGTGGCCAAGGATTACCGAAGCAACGCACATCCCCGTACCTACACCCATACCCATACCCATACCCATAGCCGAACCCAAACCCGAACCCAAGCCCATACCCATACCCAAACCCAGAGCCAGGGCTATATACAACCATCTGTAGACTCGTACATTTGTTAAGGCAGTCAGACTGCACAGGCTTGCATATCTTTTATGACTTTTGACTTGACTTTGACTTTGCCTCCCCGGCCAGGTGAAGTTGAATGACCCCAATGACTTGGCTTCGTTCGGCTAGGGTCCAAAAAATCCGTGGTCAAGGCTGACCAGTTAAAGGTTACAGGGTCTGGAAAAAAAAACCCATCGCGTTTTCATAAATATGTAGAATATTTTTTTAAAACGCGCAACCATTAAAAGTTAATCTAATTTCGAAATGATGAGCATTCCCAGGCAATTATGGAAATCTACTCTGCAAGCCATTGGCTAGATGGCGTGGGCTAGCTACTGCAATTTAGTTGGGCAGTCCACGACTACAGTACAAATTAGATGTCAGTGAACAACTCAACTTGAACTTGTCTTGGGCATAGGTTCGTATTGAAGACTGTGCCTCGAACCGGCATGACATTACCCCAATGCCAGCGTAAATTTGCAAATTAGCCGCAGACAACAAAAGAATTATATATGCATTATATAATGCCAAACAAGCTAACGCAAGTGCCCAGAGTCGGAGCCTAGGCCAAAGTCGAATCAATTTGTTGCAGTCCAGGTCTCCAAGGTAAAACGGAAATGGGACCTGGTCCTCAGAGGCACTCGTAGCGGGCAAGCAGCCCTCTGTGTTCTCATCATTAACATTGTCCCGGTCAAATCCAGGTATGCAGATGAGGCTAAGCCCCCAACGAGACCCGGCCAACAGGCGAAACATGCGTACTTACGTCTCTGACTATTTGTTTCACGAATTCGCGGCGCATTTTACTCGGAAAATAAACAAGGGGCTTTAAATTAAGTTTGATGAATTTGAGATACCCTTTCGATAAACATGGGTTCTTAAGAAAAAATTAAAAAAAAAAGAAATATCTGACGTTCCTAAAAATAGTCTGATTTGTAAAATGTTGTTAGCCAAAATCAAAGGTTTTCTAATTATTAGAAATTATTTATCCACTTAAAACACTTTCACAAGCAACAGCATATTCCTCCTGTAGCCAAGTGAATAAGTTTTCATGCCTATCCAATGGCCTAGGTGTGCCTGGTCTCTAACCAGCAGAGGCATTCTGTCCGTCGGTCCAAACAAGGCAAAAGGCATGTCCATCCTTCCTATCGTAACAAGAGCAATTTGTTCTAATGCGCCATGGCAGCGGCAGCTGCTGGAGATGGCGAGGCTGAAGGAGCTGGAGTGCCTGACTTGCAGTTGCGCCGGGTGGCGTGGAGGAGCCAGAAGATGTGGATGTGGCAGTGGCAGTGGCAGTGGCAGTGGGAGCAGCAGTAACCGAGTTAGCTGAGATTGCAAAAAGGGCAGCCACTGAACACGCAATGGCCAGAACAAATGTAGACATTAAGCTGCTGCCCAGGCCAAGGGATCGCATAGGATCGGGAGGAATGGGATGCGATGGGATGGGAGATTGGCGGTGATTGCAACTGCAGCTTCAGGTGACAGACACGCAATGGCCGGGTCCAGAGAAAAATCCCAGCCTGGGCCTGGTTATCATAAAATCATAACTATATTTGATACATAAAATTTTACATACATCTGCCGGCCAAACAAATAGCACCCCCACAAACCGATTCATTTCGGTTGACACTAACGGTCGCGTCAATAAATTCGCTGGCGAAATTTCATTAATTGCCTGCGGTGGGTGGAAGGTGGTGGTGGTGGTGGTGGTCTGGAGGTAGGTGGCGCGGGCAGGTGCCACAACGCCTGCTGATGCCACCGCAGCCCGGGTTCGATGCTTAGTTCGCATGCAGCGCGCTGTTTGCCATAAAAAATATTTGCCGCCTTAATGTGAGTGGCTTATAAATTTGTGCACAAGCCCAGCCATTTATGGCCATCGGGCAGGGACCCATGGGGCACTTGCACCTAACTGTTTATGTGGTTAGATGCCTGCCTGTTTGGGTGTGTCTGGGTGTTTGTGTGTGGCTCGATGCTTTTTTGGCTGCATTCAAATATGGAATGCAGCATCCAGTCGGACATGGCTTGGAATTCTTCAGATGAGCCTCTAAGGTCAGGATCGCCCCAGCCCATTCATTGGCATCGAAAATGATTGACAAACATCACACAAGAGCTACAACTCCTCAAATGTATTTAAATCAGTTCAATTTACTATGCTTACTTACATAGCCAGGGTGCAAAGACAATAACATTTTCTTCTATTTTTTTCTAAAATTATTTATTATAAAATCTGAAAAGATTTGACACCCGCTGTTCAACGGTAACATAAACCTGGTTTTGTTTAATTATATTAGGTGAGAAATTTCATTGTCCATTTGTTTCTAAACAATTATAATCTAAAACTGTAGTCGAAAAGGTTCCTTCGTTAAATTATATAAAACTGACAATTGCAAAATTAACATCCGAAACTCCTAAAACGAATCTTAGCTACGAAATTCAAATGTTACAATAACAAACATTAATATTTTAATATTTGACACGACCCAGCAAAATATTCAAAATTCGTACACTAATTATCTCATTTCTTTGGGATTTCAGTAGTATCCACCGCCAAACACTCGGTAAGAATCGCCTTAAACAAGATTGCCTTTTTCAAGTTATACCACCAGAAATTAAAATTGCAACGAAAATCCTCATGGCGCATTAGAAAAATAAAACAAGTTTCCGCCTTCGGCAATGGAAATCAAATACAAAGCATAGTTGTTTATGGGTTTTAATTTATTCCATTACTTGAGGTGCGTATTTTGATTTACATTTCATTTATTTGGTTGTACACTTTGGATTTGCACTCTTTACACATTTTCTTGTACATTTTCGAGTAAGCCAAAGGAAAAAAGGTTAGGAAAGACAAACGGCAACTAAATGCATTAAGCTTATTCGTTAATATGCATGGCCACATTGATTTAAATTATACTTGAGCTGATAGATAATTCTTTTGCTCTGGCAAGACTTAATATAAATAACATATTTGTGGGGCTTAATCCGATCGTGTTAAACTTATTATTATATAAATTATTGCATCGAAATTCGTTCTTAAGTCTAAACTCCTTCAATAGGAAATTGAGATATACAAACTAACACATTCATTTTTTATATAACTTTCTTTTTGGTAGCAGCAAAATATGGACTAAAGTAAGGTAAGTCATCAAAATGATCAGTACTACAAAGTATGTTTCTTTGGGTTAAATTATTTGGTTGGGTTTCGTTCTGCAACTTTGGGTAACTAAACACTAAACTAAATGGCAAGAACTAGTTCTACAAATCCTCTTCTATGGCACAATTGCATTTTGCGTTGGCTAGCAACTCCTGAATTCTACTTCTGCTTCATATACATGGTGGCAATCTTGTCGAGAATCGTGTCGATGGACAGCAGTTCTTCGTTGAATTTCTTCATTGTAGGTGCAGGCACAATCCACTTGAGGAACTCCTCCACATTCAGCCGCAGTCTGGCCAAAGGCGTCAGCTTGGCGTCATCGTGCGTGGTTCGCTGAGCCAGCTTTAGGGATGCAATGATCACATTGTCGATCAGACGCTTCTCGTAACCCAACTGGCGCAGCTTCTGGGCCGAGCTAATCTTCTTCAGTACCACGGCCATGTTGAATCGAATGGTGGACAGGACGACAACATCTTCAGACTGACTTCCCGATGACTCGTCTCCTCCTGCAGGACACTTGGCACAATGCTCAGCATGCGCCTGCAGTTCAACCTTGACCTTGAAAAACTCGTGGCAGCCCTCGCACATGTACGGCTTCTGCTGTTTGTGTATCTTCTTCATGTGGTTCTTTAGATGCGCCAGCTGGGAGAAAGCCACCTCGTCCTCGCACAGCTGGCAGCGAAAGGGTTTTTCGCCCGTGTGCTTGCGGATGTGCAGCTTTAGTACGCTCGAATGGGCAAAGGTCTGGTGGCAAATCTATCGGGGAGAGAGTTATAAGCTATAGCTGCTCCCAAGCAAATCCCCATGCAACTCACTCTACACTGGTAGGGCCGTTCGCCCGTGTGCATCCGCATGTGGACATTGTACTGGCTCTTCTGGGTGAAATACGTGTTGCACACCTCGCACACGTGCGTCTTCACGGCTGCGTGTTTCTGCATGTGCGTGGCCAGATCCTCGTCTGGTTCGATCGTCTTGTGGCAGAACTCGCACTCGAACTGCGTCAGCTTGTGGTGCTCCTGGTTGATGTGGGCTCGCAGGGCCAGCTCGTTGGCAAACTGGCTCTCACAGATTCCGCACCGGTGCTCCATGCCCTGTTCGTGTCGCTCCATGTGCACCCGCAGATTGGCGTTGGTCGAGAAGCTGGCCGAGCACCTGGTGCAGTTGAACTGCTGGATGCTCGTCTTGTGGTGCGAAACCATGTGCTGCTGTAGCTGGAATTGGATTTTTTTTTTTAAATTACAAAGGGAGTAACTTGGTTCTTAATTAATATGTAAGAGGTTTTCTATAATTAAAAGAAAGAAATTTATTAATTTAATGTAAAAGGCGGAATATTTTTTATTTGTTTGTAACTAAATCAAACTCTTAAACAGCTTTTAAGATGACAATACTTTTATGGAAACAATCCAAAAAAAAAAAACAAAAGTTATAATCAAAATTATAAAAATGCCTACAAAATATATACCTTTTTTGATACTAACCTGACCACCCCGGGCAAATTTTTTGTCACATAGGGCGCACGGATACGGCTTCTCGCCCGAGTGCAGACGCATATGAAGGCGCAGGCGCTCCTTGAGGGCGAAAGTCTTGGGGCACTGCGAGCAGGAGAACTGCTTCCGGTGCTCATGGGCGGTGGTGATGTGGTTCTTGAGGTTCACCGCCTGGCGGTAGCTCTTGCCGCAATCCTTGCATTTGTGCGGCCGTTCGTCCGAGTGGATGAGCATGTGACGCTGCAGATCGGTCTTGCCGCCGAACTCCTTGGAGCAGTGGCTGCAGACATGGTGCTTCCGCTTCACTGACTCCCCCTTGCGGGCGGACTTCTTCGGCGGCGGTTGCACGTAGTCGGAATCCTTTGAGTCCTGCTCGGCACCGTCCTCCTCCTCCACCTCCGTACAGGCATCCCGCTGGCTGGCGAGGCTGCTCTTCCGCCGCTTGATCGTTAGGGCAGGGCCTGGAGAAGATTCCCTCGCCGCCGGCGGCGAGGATAGCGAGATGCCGCTGTCCGTGAGCAGGGAGACCGCATCCTCCTTGGACACACTGCGACGGCTGCGTACCATTGGTTTGTTTTTGTTGTTATTATTCACTTTGTGTGACTATGTATGTTTTTTGGGGACCTCTTCCTGGGGGACACCGGCACCAGCTGCGATTCGCTTTACTTCTAGGGTTAATGTTCTGTTCTACGTATTTTATGATTTTCTGATTTTTTGGTTTTTTGTTTTACTACTTTTAGGATAGTTCCCATACACCTTTGGTTTGGATTAGTTTAGATGGGCTGCAAAAGAGTTAAGAACTGTTTAATTGCTCCACTCGCAATGCGCCACGTTCCGTAGCAGGCGGAGAATCAAAAACACAGACAGAAATAGTAACAGTAGGTGAGGCCGAAACAGAAACAAAAAGAGAAACAGCAACGAAACAGAACAGAACCTCCAGCTGTGTCAATAGTGATAAGACCTATGCACAGAGAAAATATCACCAAAATTGTCTATTAAATTCGGATATTGCAAATCGAAAAATTCTCGACACAACACGTTATCAACACTGTGCTTTAAGTAAACTGCATATTTGCAATATGTGACCATATGATAAGTTTCTTGTTATTTTGGAAAAATGCGCATCTAAGCGTAAAAATAAATTAATGTATTAAAAGTGTAAAAGATTATCATATCACTTAAAAAACTTTACTAAAGAAAATAAAAAAAATACATAACATATGATTTTTATTTCATCACGTATTATTGTTATTGTTTTATATCAACAAGTTATCTGTAAGAGTGCGTGTGAAAGTGATCACCCGTTTTTTTACTGTGTAGAAGCTAGGAGCTGCCTTTGCTTTGAATTTGATCGCTTTATCATTTGGCATTTCCAGCGAACGCAAGCTTCCACAAATTTTCCCAGTTTGTTGTCTTAATCTTTTGTTTGAGCGGGAAGGAGATGGAGCTAGCGACTGATAAGATCCCATAAAGGCAACCACTGATAAGCAATCCGGCTGTACGATAAGGCAACACACTCACAAACACACAAGCACCTACCCGAGGAGCTATAGATAGATATATAGAGATATGTACAGCAGTGCAACCTGAGCGATCCGGAGTCGTCTGTTCTCCGAGGCAGCGGAGTTTCCAATGAAAAGCGAGCACAAAGAAAATGCAACTGGAAGAGAGCCGATGACCCTGGACTACGACGAACATCTGGCAAACAGATTGGGAACCCTCCGAGCCCTCCGAGCCCAGCCCACCCCCTCGGCCCTGAAGCAGGGTTAATGGTTCATTAGAGCCGCACCCGCAGAAGCTGAAAACTAAAACTCACTTAAACAACACAACAGCCGTCGACCAAACTGTTGAAAAAGCGAATTAAAGCTAGAATCCGGAGCTGGGAATCGAAACTGAAAGAGAACGGGGCAAAAAGCACGAACGGCAGCGAAAATCAGACACAAAAAGCGAAAATAAAGAAGTGAATACATAACAGCAGTTTTGTAATGCAAAATAGGCGGGGTAATGGCTGGCAGGGGGAGGGGGGGCTGGAGTGGGTGTGGGCGTTAAGGCGTTAGGGGGTTGAAGAGAGGGGAGGGGTCCGTTGAAGTCTTTCGTATTGGGTACACAAAACTCGACGAGTTCACAGTTTTCGGGGTCTTGCAACCGATTGTTAGTAATTAATGCCAGCACCGCAACAAAGTTACATACGATCTTAACAGTCTATACATACAGATGCTACACATTGGACATAGAAGTCCCACAATTCCATCACCGAAAACATTTAACGCGTGAACTTACCCTCGCAATCATCGGGAATCCCGTAAAGCCTTCGATCCGCGGGAACCACTCATCATCCCAAATTGGACACACCTTGATTTCCTCTACATTCTGCAGCCAGGAACGAATTGGGTTTATTTGTTTATAATTTCAACGCCCCCTCGTTATGGGTACATACTTTTTGCATACCGCTAGCATGCAGTTTGCCTAGGTTTTCTGGGGTGAATCCATCGTACTATTCAAGATTTATTCTGAGTACCCCATAGGTTTACCTATCCAAGTTCCTCGGTGTTTTATTTAACCAAATAAATAACAGTTTACGGTGGTTTTTTCGTTGTTGTTCTTAATCTTAGGGATGTGTATTCGCCCAGTGATGGTCACACCTATAACTCTTTTTCTGCACGGCTAGAGATGGGAGCGTGATGCGGAATCGCTAATTACAGGTGAGAACGGGAGTAAAACAACATATATAAACATTTTTTTAGTTTTCGAAGCATATTGACGAGCTTATTAGTAAGGAAAAATGTAAAGATGAGCTTATCTTCGTTATTCCTGAACCTTCAAAAAAAAAGAAGAACACAAGAACATTATATATAGTTTATAAATCTCTCATAACTTTTGGAGTCACACTCATGCACCGATGTCTTATTATTTTTCCACATTTTTAGTTTTTTTATTTTATAACGGTTTTAATTGTTAAGCTATGAATGAGTTTTAACGATATATTACACGTGCAATATTTTGCTGAACGGGACCACTTTTGTTGACACCTTTGCGACTGTGTGGCAACGCCAAGTGCCGCTATGTGGATCTGGCATCACTGATTCTGAAACACGCGCAAGCTAAATATTTAAGACATGGAAAATTGTAGTTAACAAAGGTTTATATTAAAATATTCTGCTTAAATAAACCTTACTAACTTACACGTTAACCCGCACTACCTCCATTGAAAGGATTTACCAAACATAGAGGACAAAACCGACACAAGGTAAAGTGTGCGTTTTTGGCACTCCTCTGAACGGATTCCACAACAATCACAATCTATTATTTGCAGCTAACATGGCTGGAGTACTCTTCGAGGACATATTTAACGTGAAGGACATGGATCCGGAGGGCAAGAAGTTCGACCGTGTGTCCCGCCTGCACTGCGAGTCCGAGTCCTTCAAGATGGACCTCATCCTGGACATCAACTCGTGGCTGTATCCCATGGAGCTGGGCGACAAGTTCCGCCTGGTTCTGGCCACCACGCTGCGCGAGGACGGCTGTCCGGATAGCGGCGAATACAACCCCATGGAGCACGAGGGTACGCGGGCGGACAGCTTCGAGTACGTGATGTATGGCAAGATCTACCGGATCGAAGGCGACGAGGCGCACAACGAGGCCTCCCGGCTCTCCGCCTATGTGTCCTTCGGCGGCCTGCTGATGCGACTGCAAGGAGACGCCAACAATCTGCACGGCTTCGAGGTAGACCAGCACATGTACCTGCTGATGAAGCGGCTGGCCTTCTGAGTTTCTTATCTACTTATTTCCGTTCGCAAATTAGACATAAACAACAAACTTTATTTACAACGTATGTATAACATTGGTGCACTCTGCTCTGGGTCAGAATGGTGAATGGTGTGCTCTAGTGCCTGGACGGGCGTCTCAATGGTGCATTCACTATCAGGCGAGATGGCTGCGGGCGGAAGGGAATGCGGCGATCCACGAAGGGCAAAGCCAGCGGAGTCGATTGAAACACGGGAGTTCCTTTGATCGCATTCACAATCTTGGCGGGAGTGGGACGTGGACGAGCCGTGAGCTTGGCAGGGCGACGCTGCGGAGTTTGTAGAACTGGACGCAGCGGCCGGAATGCAGACAGACGGTTCAGGAGCGGTAGAACATACTGGGCTTGTGGTGGCAGCGGCAGACTGGCCAAATTTATAATAGCTGCACTTTGTGGCAAGGAGTTCGAGCTATCATCATTGGCTGGCTGATCTGGGGGTCCGTAGGTCTGATCGGGAGGACCGTATGTCTGATCGGGAGGACCGTATGTCTGATCGGGAGGACCGTATGTCTGATCCGGTGGTCCGTAAACCTCGGCTGGCTCTTCCACCACCGCAGGCGGTCCGTAAGTTTCCGCTGGAGGTCCATAAGTTTCATCAGGTTGAGGGAATTCCACCGCCTCCTCCGTGGGCAGCTCGAATGGCGGATCCGGCACCAGTCCAGCTGGAGGATACGGTGCCAGCTCCTGCCTCTGCAGGATCAGGGGCAGGGATCTACCCCGCGCGGGTCCTGGGAACCTCAGATGATTCGCTTCAACTCCATTCAGGCAGAGAATGGAACAAAAAGCGAGGCCGACGAGAGAACCAATTGGATAACCAAACATTTTGATGTGCTAGCGTGAACTGCTGCATGGTGTGGCATAGTGGCGCCTATAAATACCCACTAGGGATGGCCTTGGGGACTGCCCAATGAATTGGCCCAAAGAAACCACGAGGCCGATGACTTTTAAGGCAGGTCCCCAATATTACGTGCCCATTGCGGTGATGACTAAAGCTGGTGTAAGCGCTGCATGTTATGAAAACGTAGTTAGATTTCGGTGTTATTTTATATTTAAATAACAAATTAATTATTTATAAATATACATTTTTTTCGTATTACCACTAACCATACAATATGTTGTATGGTTAGTGGTATTACTAAGATTAAGGTAAACGGTTTCCTTCTACAGCTGAAAACAGTAGATTTCGATCTCATCAAGTCTTCCAAAGCTTTTCTAAGTGAATAATTTCATATTTGTTATGCTATGAAAAACTACTATCAACACCTGAACAAAAAGTTTTCCATCAACAAACTTTGACTACATGTTTAACTACTATTGTTTAAATATTTAAGAACATTTTAAAATTTTTGTTCTCTCATATAATTTAATTTTTTTTATATTTCTTAAAAAAATATAAAATGTACTTTACAAAAATGGTTGTGTCAAAAATTTTTTTTCGAGGAAATACAATATTTTAATATTTCTTTAACAACAATTCATTTGCAGTCAATAAATATAAAACGGTAGATTTATTTGAGTATATGTATTTCTAGAATGTTATTGTAATGGAAAAAATGGGATTTTTAATTATTTCAATTTGTAGTCTCTAATAATTGATTAACAAAATGTATTATTTCGGTAACATTAAATAATTTGACAATGCTTGTCTTAACGATTTAATTGTGAGCTTTAAGTCGCCAAATAATAAATTCTAGTCTTTTGATTTCTAGAAACACTATTTGAAGTCTACCAACTTCTACGCAGGATCAGTCGCTGGGGAACGGGCTGTCGGTAACGCCGTCCTTGAGGGAATCGCTGGTAGAGGCGGGCGTTCTGGGCAGGCTGAGGCTGATCCAGACTGCTGGCCACGACGATCACTGTGCCATCCTCATCCACCACCAACTGGGGCACATCCTCCTCAGCGTCCGCATCTGCGGGCTGCAGCTTGGCACCATCCACTGACTCTTCCTCAGTTTCGGGAATATCATCGGTCTCGATGGGATTCTCGGGCTGTGGCTCCGGCTCGGATTCGGGCACTGGCACGGAATCGGCCTCAGGTGGTCCATAAGTGTTGTCTGGTGGTCCGTAGGTGTTATCCGGGGGTCCATAGGTGTTATCCGGGGGTCCATAGGTGTTATCCGGTGGCAGGTATGTGTTCTCCGGCTTGGCGGTCGAGCTGGGCAGATCGAAGGGAACACTGGGCGTGATACCCGCCTCTGGATAACCCGTGGGCGAAGGACTTGGTGGAGCCTCCTCCTGACGGGCTGAAAATCTCCGGCGGAGAGGTTCTGCTGAACTCAGAGCCAGCAGGCTCAGGACAAGAATAGCAATTGATGCAGAGCTGGGTTTGAACATTTTCGCGGTTGTAGGGCTTCTGTTCTGATTTCCCAATTCGACTTGGCTTATTTATAGTCCCAAGCAACCGGATCGAGTTTTGCTATAATTTATGCTCGTCACTTTCAGTTTTTAGGCTCTTGTTCCCGGTAAAGCTTTGATTATGTTGCGCTGATCGGCGCTGATGTGCCCGATACGTGACCTTTTTTCGAAATTAAATGGCCAATGCTATGATTTCGAATATGCTTCCCCTTCCCTTCCATGGGATCATTCATTAACACTCGATTTGGGCTTTGGGGTCGCTGTGAACATTTGAGATTGTTTGTTCTTGGATCTTGGGTTCTTGGCAGTTCATAATTTCGTTTGACAAGTTTTGTATTCATGTGAAACAAAATAGGCTATGAAAAATCAATTGAGCTTGCAGTTTAATAGACACGTTCCATCCATAAGCATATTCATAGCTAAATTCAGGGTCTTTGAAATTAAAGATGTGCCAAGTGCTAAAAATATTATTTAATAATTGTTCGTCTTTTGCTGTTTGACCATTTTTAACGTATATTAATATTAAAATACTTTAAGAAGAACCTCCTATCTATATGATTTAATTTACAAGTTATAATTGATGTCGATTTGAAACCTCATACACTGATATAAAAATGGAATAGTAGAAATAAATATCTGACTATTGAATTCAAAATTGTACACTTAATATTTAAATTAAATATTAAATCATAATAATGATTTAAAATTAAATACTTTTATTAATGCTGAAAATATAAGTTTTGAAATAGTTGCTATTTGATTTAAATACATTTTATTCAATCTAAATGTGGTTTAGATTTAAATACAATTTTCAGATATTAAAATCAATTCCAAAAATATTTAAATGAATTTTTTTTTTGAAAAATTTTATTTTTTTAAATAACTAAAAATCGCAATTAATGAAAATCAAAGGGGAAATATTTTAATTTAGTACAAAATATTTGGATTCACAAAGTTTTTTTTTCAGCAATATACTAAAAAAAAGGCTTAAACTAAATTAAATATTTTTACAAAATATAATATTATTGTCATAGATTTTGCGGAGTAATACCACTTATTTGGTTGGTATTCTTTTTTATTTGTTTCATTTACAAATTTTTTTACTGCACTAAACATGTAAACATTACATCCAGGGTCTTGTGGATGGGCAATGGTAGAGAAATAATGGCGTTGTGCAGAATCGTGAGACGGTACGGTCTTGATTTTAGTCTACATGATTTATTTCTTATTCTTGCATAGTGCAATAAGTTTCACGTGAATCGTAGTGCTATTTATTGTGACATTTTATAGTAAAAGTGTTTATTGAAAAAGTCAAATATTATTGTTATCAGCTTCAACTGCAAAGCCAGTTTACCAACTTTTACCAACCCTCCTCATTACTAGTTAGTCTCTACATAAAAACTGATCTTTTAATATATTTAACAACAAATCGATTATTTATTTAGCAACAGATTTAAATATGTGTATCCTAATGTTTCGATTCCATCCATATGTTAACAAAGGCGATGGACCCACTTTAGATGGTATAGACCAGCACTGGTCGGGAGCGAATGATCTGGGCGGATCGCAACTTCTCCGGAACGGGACGGCGGCTGCGGAGGCGTCCATTACGGGGCTGGATCAGACTTGCGGGAACGGGCTCGGCAGCATCCAGAGGGGCCTGCTCAACAGGGACATCGTCAGCTGGGGGTCCATAGGTGTTATCAGGCTCGGCAGGAGGTCCATAGGTGTTGTCCGGGGGTCCGTAGGTGTTGTCCGGCTCAGCTGGCGGTCCGTAGGTCAGGTCAGGCTGAGCTTCGGTCTCCGTGGGCAGGTCGAAGGGCACTTCCGGAGTCACTCCGGCCGGCGGATAGGGAGCCGAGGCCGGAGTGGGCGCAATATCCACAGCGGGATCGGCCGGAGCAGCCTGGTCCTCTGGAACTTGCTCTTGTCTAGCAAACTGCAGCCGAGAGGATCGGCCACGGAACCGTGCAGGTTCCGCCAGAGAAACGGCAGCAACGGCTGCGATCAGGAGCAGGGAGCTGGTGAACTTGTAGGCCATGTTGAGCTGGTGTGGAACTGTCTTAGAATGTTGTCAGCAACTGGAAGCCGCGGCACTTTTATACACCGAAGTTTTTTGGCCACTCATATTTGGCACACCGAGGGACACCCTTTCGATGGCCTATGGACGTGACAATATTTAGTCAAGGGCCCATGTCTTAGCCATAACCATAGGCCGTCAATTATAACCCAGGGGTACTTAACTTTGACACTTAACTTGGCCCCACAGCGCATAAGCAATGGGGTGGACATGTCGAAGCCAAGCGCTATCAATAAAATGTATGTATGCATATAAGAAACACCGAAATACTTATTAAGCTATCTGGTTTAGATATTAATCTCTAAAAATTGTATGTCATTTACAAAATTGTATCATGTTCTATTTTTGTATTCCCTTTTTAATACATTGAAAATGTGTTTTAGCTTAAAGAAATTTGGTCAGAGAAAGCAAGTGTGAAATGTTTTCTATTTAATTAAAAAAAAAAACTATATAAAATTGTGAGTTAATAATACAGTATATAAAACTAAATGTGCTTTTTGTCTAAGGTCCACCCAAATAGGCATATCGAAAACTAGTGCTAGAGTTTAGACAACACTTTAAATTCCACTCCACTGTGCGGCGCCTGCTTGACATACGCATTGATGGCTTTCAAATCGCGTCGCTCTGCTTAAAATGCACGGCGTCGTGGGGCAGGCTAGAATCGCTGACCACTGTCCGCCGATCGGCAGGGCCACCACCATCGGTGTTTTGTGGGTATAAAAGTTAAAGCTCCATATACGACAGCTAACATAACACCACTGCAAGTCCCACGATCATGGCACGTCATCAGCTTCTCAGTTCGCTCCCTCTTCTGCTGGCCATCTGGGCCGTGTCTTGTACGGCACAGGCTCCACTCCGGCGGACTCAGCGCCTGCGTCCGGTGGCATTCGCCCGGCAGGAGGTGGCTCCCACACCCTATCCCTCGGCTGCCGAACTGAAGCCTGCCGCCGAACAGCCCGCTCTGACCTACGGACCTCCCGAGGATGTGGATACGGACGCCTTGCCGTCGGAGCAGGAGCCGCCGGTAGACAACTTTGAGCCCAGCCCAGAGACCGAAGAGGTGGACACCGAGGAGGGCTCCCTGGAGGCTACCACGCCATCCTCCGCTCCCGCTCGCCTGCGCAGCCGCCAGAGATTGGCCAAGCTGCAGCTGGCCAAGCCCAAGCGCCTGCGCCAACGCATCGCTCGCCTGGAGGAGCTGCCCGTGGATGAAGTAGTGGCTCCAGTGTCTCCAGTGGCTCCTGTGGCCCAGATTCCCGCAGTTCCCACGCCCCAGTTCTACTACGTCGGAGCGGGACAGCAGCCCTACTACCTGGCCTACAACGCTGCTCCACAGCAATTTGGCTGGTAGACAATAGTTAAATGTTTTTCATTTGTCCACTTTTCTGTTTGAACTTGTTTTTGTCGTTGAAAATATATATTTGGTAATAGAAAATTGTATATTAATTTTTAAACCATTGCAAGGGGAATTGTAAATACACTTAAGTGAAGGAGACATTTCCGACCCAATACAGGGTTCTTAATCAGCAACATTATGGTCTATGAGAGTCGTTTTAGCCATGTCCGACTGTCCGTCTGTCTTTTTATACGCAAGCTTAAAACTGAGAGTTTAAAGCCATCTGGATAAAACATTCCCAAAACTCTTTATTTTACAGCAGGTAATATAAAAGTCGGAAACAGACCGATCGGAAGTCCGTAATTTTTAAAAATAAAACCTCGCTGTTAAGGTAACACTACTGCACTGTTCAAAATTCAACAACAAAATACGCGGTATCGTATGTTACAGTCAATAATGAATAAATAAATTTGAATTAATCTCCCAGAAAATATATTTGCTCATCTAAATGTGTCCGCTTTCAAGTGCTGTATTTTGCAAACCTCTAACCGCTTTGCTCATTTGAGGACAACGCTTAAAGTTTTCTACAAACCACCAACCTATTGCAACTCATTGGCCATAACAATAGCTTTGGCAATACCCATTGTGGGGCACCAACTCCTTTTCAGACTCCTTTGCATATCCGCCCTCACATGTGAACTGCTTTGGCAACGTTTGAAGGGTTTCTTGTTCTCGTCTTAGTGCATATTTTGCCAGGTCTTTTGTGAAACTTTCTTTCCTTTCAATGCATATGTAATGCCTTCCTTTTATTTTAAACTGAAGTGGCTGGCTCACGATTTTAATGATTTGCTAAGCCATTTTTAGAGAACTATTTTTAAAAGGACCATGCTGTTAAAATATCTAAATACCGCCAAAACATATCGACATATTTATTATGTTCATATATTTGGGCAACTATGAAGGACTATATTTATTTTATTATTATTATTTGAATATAGACAAAAGGGACAGTCAAATTTGTCCAATCTTTCTACATAAAAACAATTTTGTTTTTTTTTATGATTGGCCTTGGGTTTAACCTTAAACCTAAACCTTTACCTTTACCTAAACTTAACCTTTACCAAAATAGTGCAAAACGACTATATCCTAGAGCTTATTTTTTTCAAATTTGACAAAGCTGTTTACAGAATAATTTTAAGTTTTTCTTTCCAGAAATTGGTTTAAGTTTTTTTTTCAGTTGTGCCCTTTTGTTGTAAAGTCCATATAAACTATTGTTTGATCACCCTTAGAATCCACAGGATAGGGTGTTAAAACAGAATTTTCAGCTTCGATGGCTTATTTTAGAAGCCTAGACAAGATGAAAACTATTTTTGAGGAAGCCGTGGTATATTCAGTGTACACCATATTTATGTCAAGCATTGAAATTTAGTTATACCTTTATTAAACAAATCAGTTATTCTTAACAAACTGCTACTGCATAGTTTTCGGCTGCAAAAGTTTTGGAATTGATAACTGAGCTCAACTTAATCGAGTTGACTTTCTAACGCCCAACGCAATTTTTTTGAGTTACATCAGAAGGTTGTGAGCCTCAGAATAAAAACAAAAAAAACTAAGTTTATACCTATTTTAATTTATTAAAGCCGCAATTCTGATATAATAAATAAGTATTACATCTATAAGTATATATTTAAATACATAGTATTTAATATATTTTTCCGGCTGTCTCTAAGGAAGCTTTAAGTTGTAGTCGTCCGACTTTAATAATATTAAAACCGTATTTCTGTGGTAGTAAACCTCTACCACTGTGTCTCTTTCATTGCGATGCTAACTTTTGACTGAAATTATAACGCTATATGCAAACATTGCCGGTGGCATTTAAAAAATTACGATTATAATAATTGTTTTGATAAGCTCAAAAATTCCAATGACGCACAAAGAACTATTAAAAGTTGGACGCGACCAGTATTTCGGTGTCAAATTATGTCCGAATGGTCTCAAAAGTAGGGTAAACTCAAATTTTTTGAATTACGACAAAAAATATTCAAGTACGAATCATTCAATCCCAAAGTTCTACATTTAAGAATGAACGTTATCAGTCCAAGAAGGTACGAAAGTTATTGGTTTGACTACGAAAAATTCTTTATGCAAGTATAAAAGTTTCTTAATTTAAGTTGTTCAAGTGAACAAGTGTTTAAACATTACACACAAAACTCGTCTAAATCATTGCTTCTTGTTATTTGTGTACAGCTTGATAGACATCGGGCAAAGTCTCATTTGATTAATTGTAAAATGAGCTCTCAGTTTTTAATAGTGCGAAGTTATGATGTTTACTTTTTTTTCCTATGCAAGGTGATTAACTCTTAGAAAAAAGTGATTCCAGCGAAAATATATATAATTTTTTTTACCTTAAACAAATATGCCAAAACTCTGAAATAACATTATTTTAAAAGGCGGAAAGAAGGACGGATCGTCGTGATGCTGAATCCAAATATTTAAGAACCTCAAAAGACAAAATGTCCAAAATTACCAAAATGGTTAAAAAAATAGGAAGAAATTCAATTTCTACGAAATCGATTTATAACATTTTATTATGTACTAAAATTGACAAACCATTTCCAATGTGTCAATATTACCTTAAATGAAGGAATATTGATTAAATGTTAATAATTTGGTAGTCATAAACTATGATACCAAATCGACATTTTGGATCCATAATCCATAATTTAGAACTAAAATTGTAGTTAATTTGCTCATTTTTGGGCTTACTACATGGGAAATAGTCCCCTCTTATTCTGGGTATAGTTACTAAGTCTGAAACGCTTCCATTCGATTTCTCTAGAGTGCTCTGATCATGTCGCGATCATTTATAGCAAGTGCAGCTCGTTTTCAAATTATATTGCTTTAAATATCCCCTCTCAATTGATTAACTAAAACTGAAAGCTCTATAGGCATCGGACAAAGGCTAAGATTAATTTGATTATCATGTTTTCATTAAGTAAGTCAATAATAATAAATCAAGCTTATCAATACTGAGTTCATATTTCTTGTCAGGGTTATGTCAAGACATACACTCGTTAAAATATAATGTATTCTTTATAAAAACAAATAAATAATTTCACATTAATGTAAGGACTAATCTAAGCGAAGATTGATGTTTTTAACCGCGGAAGAAAGAACCCCGCGTCTCCAAAGCGCCCACATTAGGCCTGGAACTATTCCGATGGGCTTCTATGGCCTGGTAGTTTATGAACCAGAAGGGCTGGTTTTCGACGGGCAGCGTGCTCAAGTAGTTAACCCACTCCCGATCACCATGGGCATCGACGGGGAGCTCGCTGAGAACGGGGGCCACTGTGGTGGTGGAACTAGTGGTCGTGGAACCAATGGTCGTGGAACCAGTGGTCGTGGAACTAGCGGTTGGGTTTGTGGAATCAGGTGCACCAAATCGGTTGGCCACTGTTGGAGAACCCTCCAAATCGGTGGTACTAATGGGTAGCACCAGGGGAACTCCAACTGGCGGTTTCTGGGGTGTTCCGTAGGGTAGATTAATCAGAGCAGGCTTCTGTGAACTCTCCTCTCCGAATCTGGTAGCTATAGACACTCCGGTTATATTCTCCACAGCTGTGTTTTGAGTTGCGTGGTATTTGTCCTTCTGGCTCAGTCCACCTGGTGGTCTCAAACCCGCAAAAGAGGGTCTCTGGGCCTGGATGGTTTCCAAAAGAGTCATGGTGATGATAGCCGCAGCACAAATAAATTTGAACATTTTTGCAAAGCGAATTTCACTTTTTCTATACGAATTTCACTCGCGATGTTAACTGGTCTGATCTTCTGCGACAACTGAGAAGAGACAGCTTATAAGATTATTTAAATAAGTTTCTCTCTCTGCTCGATCATTGCTTTTCTTTGTGTCCGATGACAAAGTACACAGAAAAAAATGTGTAATATTTAATTATCAATTCAATGATTTACATATTATAAATTTCTGACTTGGTATTAAATTTAATTTGTCAAAGTGCTAAAATAATTATTTTGATTATTAAAATTGAAAAATTCTAATTAAGAAACATTTAAAATGTTATTTTTTTTTTTTTTGCCAATCAATTTTGATGAAATGCTTGATTAAATGCTTGGATCTTTCATATACCGCTTTTTAATTCGTGGGAACTTTGTGGTCATTGTTTTTATTCAAAGAACTGCAGTTCTCCCTTAACATTAGGCATTTTTAAACTTCCAAACCTTGTTAATACACTAACTTTCGAGCTGTAAAACTACTTGAATTTTAGTGACAATGGGAATATAAAATTGAGTTGTATTAGTAGCCCTCTAACAGTTTTACTTACCTTCGCACACTTTTAAACTTATTGTGTATTTACATATATTATTAATTTGAATAATTTGACAATTAATGAATAATGTAATTGGTTAATCATATGCATTGAAATTCTATGCATTCATAACCATATTATCTTAGAATAGAAATTTCCACTTAATTATTTATAAAACTTAGGAAATATGTTTTAAATTTCTACGCCGATTTGTCACTGCCAGTTTAATGTTAAGTATTGCGAGTACCAAAATGAACAAATTCGAGAAAAAGTTTATAGTTTCTTACAATATAAACTTCTCAGTTCTAAAAATAAACATTTTTTTTTTAAATTTATTAACAAAACTTATGAAATATGTTTTAAATTGCATTTTTTTTTACTTTGAGCCGAGGAGTAAGAGTATTTCATATTCGCAAGTATGATCCAGACAGGTTAATTTGCGGTTTGGGCAATCCCAGAAGCTTTTGCATCGTCATCGCATTGTGAAGCGTGCGTCCTAAAAACCGGTTTCTGGTATTCCCCTTTACCCACGCTCCCCATATAAGCCATCTTGATCGAATTCGCAAGAAACTTTGTTTTTGGGCGCGTCTAGTGAGTTTGTTTACGTTTCAAAGTGACTCACAGCCTGCCAGAAAAAGAACGTTCTCAATGTCTATCTCAAAACATGATTTATTTGCTTCAGAATTTAATCGGGAAAGGTTTTCGTGAGTGTGTCTGTGTGTTCAGGTGGGAAAAATGTGCGCGTGTGTATTTATGTCGACATCGTGACTCCGTTGAATCGTCATGGGTTTTTGTTTTGAGTCGGCTACTGAAATACGAAAACAAACAATTAGTAAATATTGCAAGTTTTTGTTTAATTTCCCTTTTAAAAAGTTGGTCTAGATTTCAAAGATCTGCAAATCATAATTATTTTAAAAATCTAAAGAGTTATACTAAATACAATAAAAAAAAAAAAAATTACAGCAGCCTTGCTTCACAAAAAATTGTTAATAAATTGTAAATTAATTTAATCTTTTATAATCTAATCAGTAAGACAGACATTTTTTCTTGACCTATCACTTTTCTCGGCGTGTTGATTTTATATAATCACTTACTTGGCATTTCGTCTAGAAACGTCGCACGGTGGAGCGGGCAGCGCTCAACTTGGCCGGACGGGCGGCAGCGGAAGCAGCTCGACGATAGGAAACTGGCTGGGCGATTCTCCGGTAATTGGCCGCCCGCCTGGCAGCCACCAAGCGAGCCTGCTGCTCGGCCGGAATGTCGGCGGCGGCGGGCAGATCGTTTCCGGTCACGTCCGGAGGGCCGTAGACCTCGTCGGGAACGCTGTTGGGCGCGGCATCGGGCGGTCCGTAAACGGCGTCTGGAGTGGGTTCGGCGGCCGAAGGAGCTGCCGCCTCATCGAAGGGCACTTCCGGCTTCAGCTCGTCCGCCGAGGGATAGGGCGTCACGGCATCCGGCGATGCTCCTCCGTCTGCGGGAGCCAGCTCCTGGCGAGCGGAATACCGCGAGCGTCCGCGGCTCAAACGCTGCGAATAGCGCTGCTGCTGGGCCTCGGAAAGGGCCAAAAAGGCTAGAGCCGCCACCACGAGGACAACTTGGATTTTGGCCATTTTGGAGTTGATGTGATGGAAGTGTAGCTGCGGGAAGACTGAACCAGCGACTGATGATTTGGGGAGGTTCCCTGGGCGCTTTTATAGGTAGGACTTGGATGGGCAGCTGTTTAGTGTGCGCTGCGTGGACCCAATGTAGGCATCCTTTTTTGGACCTATGCTCTGACGTCGGCACTCTGCTTTAGTCTCGGTGCCCACGATCGGCGGTGTCTGCGGCGTCTTTATGCGCCTCCGACGTGACCAGAAAGAACTAGCAGATGCAGAAGTCCGCGGTTCCGCCAGCAATCAGTCCAAAATCGGGGAGAGTGCTCCACCTCGATGGGTCCAATCGCTCAACATTTAAACGCTCTTAATGTGACAGCAGATGGAATTATTGGTTGGTCGTAAATTTATCGTGAAGTTAAAGGATATTGGGATCTTGGAATTTGAGAAATTTGGTTTCGAGAATAACTTAATTCAACCAATCCTATTTTATCAGCGGACATTGGATTATATTTAAACTTCTTTAATACCAACCTGCAACTGCCAACGTAAAATTTCCACTTACAAAGATTTCGAGTAGGAGAACATTGTTGTTCTTGAAATTCATTCAAATTTACGTTTGTTTTAAGTCGATTGCCATTTGCTAAGTTTTAGGAGATTTTGACCTTTTATGTAACATGAATAATAACATGTCCAAATCATTTTTAGGTAAAATCCATGTATCAACGGTTTTTAAAAAAGTGTACATATTTATGTTATTTATGTGAACAAAGACATACTTGGCTTCTAAGCTTCTTATAAATTATTTTATAAGCACACAAGTTTGCCAAAGCTAACATTTGATTTAAATTTGCTAGTTATTTTAGAAAAAAATTCAAAAGGAAGTACGTTAACATTTTGAATGCAAAGTATTTTCTTAAGTTTTAATTTTAATCAAATTTAAAAATATTTATTGTTAACAAATTTATTACACATTTTTTTAACAGCAGTTATTTTATATTCATTTTTGAAGTGTGTAAAGCTATTTGAACATTATAATTTTTGTAACTTGTAACAAAATACGTAAATAAGCTTGGAAATACATAAACTAATCCAAACGATTAAGCTCCCATTAATATAATCCATTATCTCGCACCTGTTAACTATATTAAATCACCATAAGTTCGTTTCATGTAATGACGTGACTCAAAACAATCGTTTGACGAATGGGCCTTTTGACCTTGGTGTTCACCTCAACGCCGAATCGTTGATCGCATAAATATCGATTATAAGCGTTTAATCAAAAATTCTAACACTCAAACTGACAATTCCAGCATAATGCAATTGACAATAGTGGTCGATGTCGACTTGGCTTCGTTTTCGCTTTCAATTGGTTGGGAATTGGGCTGCGTGTCACGTACGAAACGCATTTAATTTTCACAGAACATGGCGAATCGGACGTGGACATCGGACAGTGTGGCAGTTGGGAAGCGGCGGCAGTGTGGGCGATATGGCGGATGAGTCGCCGGCGGACGTGGTTTTGCGGGCGGAGACCAGAAACAAACAAAAACCTATGCAAAATAAATCATTAAGTGTGCGCCTAATCGATGTCGCGTCGATATAGAAGCTTCATGTCTATATTCCCGTCTATATTCCGACTCTCGCTTTCGAGAACTTTATATAAAAGTGTCGCCCCCAATCGAGGCTGGAATCAGTTGGGTCTAAATTCGGGCCGATCGAGAGTTCAGCATGCAGTGTGTTCTACCCATTATCCTGTGCCTGTGGGCCTTCAGTCCCGCCGAGATCGAAGCGCGTCAGATCAGGATTAATCGCTATGCACTCAGTGTGCAGGAGGATCAGGCGGTGGAGGTCAAGGCAGCTCCCTATCCGGCGGCGGGCTACAGGCCACAAGGTCGCTCCTTCTGGCTACCAGGCGAAGTGGAAGTCGAGGTCCAGGAGGTGCCCATTGAAGGATCTGGTTTGGAGGCCGATCAGCTGGCCTCCACAACCGAGCTGCCTCTGGAGGAGCTACCGACCAGCACTACGGATTCACCTGCGGACTGGAGCACCACCCCCAACTGGGATGTCGTGGACACCACCACCTCGGTTCCTCTGGCAGTGAACTCCCGTGCAAGTCGTGCCTTTGAGAAGGCTCCCTACCCGCCAGCCGGGTACCGACCAAGTCGCGCCTTCCGTTTGCCCACCGAGCAGAACCTGGAGGAGCAGCAGCAGATCCTGGCCAGCAATGCGACCGATAGCAATGCCGATCATCCGGTCTGTGGGGTCAGCACGGATCCCCTGAAGCCCACGCCGCAACCAGGATCCAAGGATGAGCCCGATGCGGAGAATGTCGTCTTCACCGCCAACGTGGGACCCGCCGTTTTCGTGGCCCGATCGCCGTCCTCCATTCCGGTGGCCATTCCCCTGCGATCGCAGCCTCTGGTGCAGGCTCCGAGATCCCGGGGATTCGCGTACTCAACGCATGTGGAGCAGAGGTGGTGAGGAGAACTTCTTGTTAACAGTTCAGTATTTTTAGTTACTTTGGAATGTAAACCAATAAATGTTTGTAATTGTTATTTACTTAAAGACAATTCATTTTTTCGGGATACTTAATGTTAAATGTGTAGCAGTTTAGAGTGAGAAACAAATAAATATATAGATAAGCCAATATTTCCCCTCTTAACGCAACTTTGGCGGTTTTCTATAACTTGACAGGTAAGATTTTAGAAGTTTTTATACTTGTACAAATTATAGCATCATCACTCGGTTTATTTTCATCGACCGGAAGTTCTGGCACGTTCCAAACTTTGTTTGTCTAACGTCATTGAATGTTTTGTTAAATGTTGTTTTTTTGTTCCCTATTGAATGAGGAGTAGCGTCAGGCAACAAACTGTTTTCTATCAAATTGTGACTGTTTCTGGCTTCTAGAGACAGCCGGAGAGTTCCTCTTCCAGGCATGCGAATTAAATTTGACGTGCGGATGTGCAAAGTTTTAACCGTGGAACGTGCGTGGCATGCGGAAAGGCGAGGAGGAGCTTAGACTTGCCACCAGCTTAGACTTCCCCATATTCGTGGGGATTCAATTTGAATAACGAGTATGCCATCTGGGTGGAGGAGGCGGATGGTAAGTCTGCCGGAGACCATTGAACCTGCCTTAAGCTGGGAAGGACTTGTTGAGCGGGTGGCGTTTAGAAGGGAGGGATGGATCAGAACGGCATTAAATTGAAGCGAATGTTAACACAAAGTAACATAATTATGAAACGATTTGTTTTTGTCAAAACCAATTTTAAATGGAAACAATTGAAACTGCTTTAAAAACCGAATGCCTAAAATATTCTTCCACCAAACTTTTATAATGAAATTCTAAGCCTGCTTTTTGTTTCTTTTTTGAGAAACAAATGAACAGTTTTTCTTAACAGATGCAAAATTAAACCTAATATAAAAAACATTTATTTGAGTTTAAAAAAAAATACCACATAAGTTTATTCTTAAGATATGAATTAACAAATTAATGTAACAATTAATGTATTAATTAAAACTCATAATTATTAATTCCATTAAGGAGTTTAATCAAACCACACAAATCTTGTTCCCTGAAAAAAAAAATTATAAGCTAATAATTCGTTCAACAAATATTACAAAAATCTTGGAACAATAAGGTTCCTTAAAATTGCGATCAAATAAGTCGAATATAAATTTTAAGATTTTACACAACTATTCTTTTCTATTACAAAAAATATTTATTCAATTTTCAGTTCAAAACGTAAAATTGTTAATATTAACTTTCGGGTATTAAATAATAGTTTTTCTTCCAAATAATTTCTTCCAGGTATATTTATGGTTTTATTCATTTATTCGTTAAAGGCTATTAAAAAGCCATTTGGGAAGTTAATTCAAGAAGTAACAAAGGTCGTAAAAAGAGTCAAGAAACAGCTTTAACAGAGTCCGAGGACAACCGCACCGGGTTAATTGATTCGTCCGGGCACGCCTCCTTGGCCGAGTCACCGCAAATTGTGCACGTAATTGACAATCAAAGGATCATCGAGGCTGGTGGGCACGATTTCCACGGAGTGCACCACGGGCTGCAAGTGGACGTCGCTGTCGATGTGCGTGAAGCTGGCCAGCTGCAGGTCCAAATCGTCGTGGCCGCCGTCCACATTCACATCCACATCCACCAGCACGTACTCGGCCTCCGGCTCCACAAGTGCCAGCTCCACGGCCGCATTGTTGTCGCCGGGCACCTGCGGCTGCTCGGCAATGGAGACCGTCTCGTTGGCATTGTCCTGCGAGAGGGATATGGCCACAGTCGGGGGCGGGGAGTCCGCTCCTGCCGGGGTGGCATCGACGGCAAACAGTTTGGTCGTGGCCGGAGTTGTGCTGCTCTCTGCGGTTGGACTTTCTGGGGAGAGCTCCTCCCGCTGCTCATCGCTTTCCTTTGGCTGTTCAGTTGTGGTTGGCTCGCCATCGGCCTTGCTGTCCTCCCCCTCGTCGTCCTGCTCCTCCAACTGCCGCTCCACTTCGTGGCTTCGCTTGGGCGGAGTACTAAGCAGCAGGAGCTTTCCGGACTTCTCTTGGACTGCGTCGCCATCCTCATATAGAGTTCCCGGGGCGGGATCAATCAGAATGCTGGCCTCCTCATCGCGACTCAAAGCCGGAGCCGCCAGAGTGGTGGACTCCTCGGTGGTGAACTCCCCCTCTCGATCCGCAATAACCACACTGGTGGTCATTTCCGGAATCTCGGGATCCGCTTCGGGACGGATAACAGCCGCCTGGACCAAAGCCAGGCAGAGCAGGGCGCAACCGAATCCTTTCCACATGTTCGCTGGTCAATTTGCTGACGATTTGATGGCTATTCGCTCCAGACGGGCGTATTTATACGAATGGTTTCCACCCATTCGGGAGCTGTCATAATTTCAGCCCTGAGCATTTAATTTGACGCGAAACTTCCGCAAACGGCCCAAACCGGAAATGTAATTCCCCCAGCCTGTGGGTGTGAGTGTCTGTTTGAGGGTGTTGTGTGAGTCTGTGGCGGCATTGAAGGAGGCCAGAAAGACCTGGGTCGTTACACCTTGGGCCCCACACAGCCCCACACAGCCCCACACTGCCCCCATTGACCGCAACGATGGCCAGAGTGCCAACCCCAAAAAGTCACTTTACATTTTCGCCTTTACCACCGCCACACATACTAGATCGCAATACAGTGATGCTCGAAATAATGGGGCTTGTTATTTGATAAGCAAAGAACAATATTTTTTTTAAATAATCAAGAAAGCACTTTAGAGTGTATTTAATCCCTTATTAAAAATCATTAAAAATCATTAAAAAAATGATGATTTGTAGCCATTGTTTGAAAATTTTAAATTTTATAAATCTGTTCAGAAGTGAACAAATTATATAGCCAATAACTTTAAGGGCTCCTGAATAGTTGAGTTAAATGAGACAGTAAATTAAAAACAGTTACAAAACCGTTGCAATCCAGCTGTTGGGATGGTGCCCAATTCCATAATAAACTTGTGCTGCGTGGGCATAGCTAGAATCTACATGTTAAGACCCAAATCTCTAGCTTCTATAGTTTCAAAAATATCGACGTCCATACGTCCATAGAGACGGACATGGATAGATCAACTTGGGAAGTGATCCTGATCAAGAATATTACTGTGTTTAGCATCTTTTATGCAATACAGTCGATTGTCCCAACTTAATGTACATGCCTGGCACCTCTGCTAGTATTATTAATTAAGCTGATTATTAGCCATATTACCTTCGCCAAATCGAGTAGAAAAGTAGTTAACAATAAAGCGGAGTGAAAACGAAATTGATAAATGACATTATAAGGAAGAGAATAATTTAATTTCAATTGTTTACTATTAAGTTCGGTGTTGTCACCATTTCACGCATTAGGTTTAAATTAATAGTCAACTTTCGTGCGAAATGGTGTTTATAAATACATGTATTTTCCCATTTCATGAAATGGCTATCGCATAAACACAGTATATACTTTCATAATTTTCAACGAATACAATATAAACTTTTCCTCAGCGTAAAGTGGGTGTAAAAACCAAGTCTTCTGTAAATGTCTTTCTTTTATTAAAAAAGTAGTAAATAATATTTTTAACGTCCGCCACTATTTTCTTGACCTCAACTATATGTGCGTTTAAGGTGTTGGTGCGTATCTGTGTGTGAGCTTGTATAGTTTTGTCGGTTTAACTTTGTGATGAGCAAAGTTAGTGGCTTGACCGTGCCAGCTGTTGGTCATGCTGGTCACGTTCTTCGGGTGACTTTGTTTTCGTCTTAAATGGGAAATGATAAAATTGAAAATAAATTCATATAAACACACATACTCACAGGAAATAAATGTGTCTTGGGGGCAACAACAATATCAACAGGCTACAAGTTCATTGATTGCTCGCTGACCCAGAGAATATTTGCAGGCACAAAATGCACAACAGTCGTTGAAAGGCTTAACTTGGAGTAAATGCATTTGTGCGAAGTTTAATTGGATTTTTGAGGTTTCTCTTTGGAAAAATAAGGTCAACATGACAATATCTTTGATTTTAAGCCATGCTGGATTTAAGGACCGCAATAATCCAACTAAAAACATCTTAAAGTAAGATAAATTTCTTCCCATTAAACACTTTTTTTCTCACCACATGCTTAATTTTAAATACAAAACGACTTCAATTGATGGTATAGTATTTATATGTATAAGTTTATTATCGAAGATTCAACACTACTTATGTTAAAAATATTGTACGTCTTATGCTTTGTTTTTTCTTATTGATTTTTGTCATTACTTGTGTTACTTTTGTTGTTCTTCTTTTTTGTCGATTTTGTCTATAACGAAATTTCTAATTTCATAAAATGAGTATGTGTCCTGTTATATGTAGATATAAATGTATAATAATTGCATATGATCGATGGCTTGTACATGAAGAGTGGGGAGAAATTGCGAAATGGCCTGGATATACTCGTATCTTTTAGGTAACTATATGTTTTAATATAGAGTTTTAGTTTGGGGCCTAGTCCCCGATCGATATCGATGCCACTGAGTGGGCATCCGAGATATGTGTGCTTCGTTTAGATACAAGATTCAAGATACAATTAGTTAAGTACAATTATGATAATTATTGTTCAACGTTTATGCAAATGTTGTTGAGTTCATAGAAATAGATTTCGTTTTTTCGATTTCGCTTTAGATGGTAACCTGTGTAAATTACTCGTATAAAATGAATTTACGTCTACTTACAAGTTAAATAAAGTTGTTCTGTTTTGTCTTACTTGTCTTTACTTTCTGTTTTTGGTTTGTGCTTCGTGGTTTTTTTGTTTTTTTTTTTCAAAAATCTACTTTTGTTTTTTGCCTTCATGTTCCAGCTAGACCTACCCAACTAATCCATTTCCATAGCCATCAGGAAGCGCGAAATGCTCACTCATCTACCACTATCTAATCCCTTCTTTGCTAAATTAACTAAGCCTTACTTTGGTAGGACTTGCATTTATAAATGCTAATATTTTAGGCAAAACAGAAGTTACAATTTCAAAACAACTCGAAGTATTTTGTGGTTAGCTTTTAGGCTGTTGTACAAATTAATTGTTAAATATATAAAAAAGCAATTAATTAAAAGTTCCTAATAAAATAGGCGTTAATTGACAGAGCTAGCAAATGGTTAAATGGTTATGAAGAAAACATTTCAGACTAAGAGTCTGAAAACCAAATAAATAATAATACTTTTTCGAGCAACCATTCGGATTGGAACAATCTTATAACAAATTAAATTGCACATTAGTTTTGAACAAATATCAACATCCATTATACCTAAAACATCAACAACTATTAGATTGTCCCCTCCGATCCAGCCTCGTCCTAGGCAATGTTATGAACTTTTGCCGACAGGCAGTTGTGCACCACAAAAACCACCGGCTTGGGACAGCACTCCATGTCAAGTTCCTGCAAGCAAGACAGCATAGTTCAGTTGAGTGAATCTCCCCTTCTGAGGGGGGTATTGCTTTTTGACTTACAATCTCTCCATCATCGCCAAAGTCCAGATACAACATCCTGGTGCCATCGTCCGCGGAGCCCTTCAGCTTGTCGAAGGCGAACTGCCAGAGCTGCGTTTTGGAGGTGGCCACCGTCGGAGTGGTCGGAGCGAATCCACCGCAGTCGTACAGAAAGAAGCCGCGATTTATGTGCACAACCAATTGACACTGCCGGCCTTGGAACAGGCAGCGGAAGGAGAACTCCCTCTGGTAGTTGACCGCCTGATGGGAGCCCTGGACGAGGAACCTGGCCCAGGCGGCCATGTCCCGGTGCGTCTCCGAGCGCAGCCAATAGACGAGAACGCCGCGGGCGGTACCGCAGCGGACGCAGAACACCGTGGTCTGCTGACCCTGCCAAAGGATACAATGCATTAAGTATTAGCTTAACTTCGAGCCCAGTGCTCAGCTCACGTTCAGCGAGGAATTGTTGCCGGCTCCCGCCAGACGCGTCGTGGCCAGGGCGTAGATCTCCAACGGACGACTCCAGGCCTCCACCGACCAGGGAGCACTCTCGTATATCCGGAACTCCCGCTCCGTCACCGCCACAAAAATGGGCAGCCACTTGTCGCTCTCGTCCGAGCTTTCCGAACTGGAACGTCCGCTGGGCTGTGGATCAGAGAAATACCAAATGTTCTTTAGAAATGCATTTTTTGCAAATTAATTCCAGGGATTTTAAATAAAGAAAATTTCTTTAATACTTTGAAAACAAATTAGTTCATCATACATTTTTTAAGATTTTTTTACATAACGGAGTTATCTAAGTTTATATAAAAAACTTAAATTCAAATCACATAAATCATCGATTTAATTAGAAACAAGTATATTAGCATAGGCCGCAAAGGAATGAAAGATACTTTTTAGTAGCATGACTTTTAAGAAAGGGCTCCCTACAAAAAAAGGCACAGATCGACAGACTTGGTTAGCTCCATTTAGTTATACTAAACTTTTTTAAGTGGCTGCATAAGTTCTGCTGTTAAGTAAAAAAAAGTTATTTGGTACTTGCAGCAAAAATTCGAAATCCTGGCTTGCAGATGCGTTTAACATTATTTGTTCTTATCACTTTTAAAAATGTACTTAGATTATTTAAGCGACAATGGGACGCTTCATTAGTTTGAATTTGCTACTGTACTTTTTTGATAATAATCCCACACGAGGATGTTCCTTGTTTTCGAGTATGATATGAAGGAGTGTTCCAAAGATCCCAAACAAAATCGGGTATAAGGAGCTTGTCAGTATTCAGGTGATTTTATAAGTAACTTTTTCGTTTTACAAGCTCCTAACATTCCTAAAATGGGAAACGATATTTAACGAAGCAAAAGAAGTGGATTTTTTTCGATTTTTCCTATAAATGTATTCAAAGTTTCATCCAGCATTGAAGTTATTAAAATTTAAGTTTCGATAATTGTTGTGGTTGAGAGTATTTAATAAACTAGTAATCATTGCTGGGGGTGTTGGGTCAACTTACACTTACCAGCTCGCCGGCCACGCCGCTGTTCGAAGTGCCGCTGCCGCCGCTGGCCGCTCCGCCACCGGCGCTGCCGGAGCTCCCGCCGCCGCCGCCGCTCATGCGCTTGCTCAGCCAGCCGATGTGCTTCAGTTCGCCGATGAGGTTGGTCAGCGCCCGATTGGCCTCGGCCAGCGCCCGCTGCGTGCTGCTGCCCATCGCCGAGTGGAGGGCATTGAACCAGACCAGGGCCTCCGCCGAGTCCGCCGCCCGCAGGATGCAGGAGTGCACTCCGTCCGGCGAGTGCAGCTCGAAGCACCGATTCTCTGGGGGCGCAAGACAGATTAGGAACTTTGGTTATTAATTAGCAGAGATTCACGAAGGGAGATTATTACAATCTCTACACGGTAAGTGGTACTTACAAACTAAGTACCATGATACCATTCCATAGTCAGTGATAAGTAATTGACTTACATCTCACATTCTTTGTGTACAAGTTTAACAATATATTTGAGTTTAAACTAGCTGTCGACAAAATGCTCAGCAGCAAAGACTAACAGAAATTAATATTTTGGAAAAAAAAACATTAATGATAAAAAAATTATCACTAAAGTCGGCTGTCGACTCGGACTTTTAAGCTGTGAGCAGGTGACTACTTATATATAGCCGCTATGATAGTTCGATCATACCGAGTAGCGTACCGATACATTTTTAAAATTATATTTTTCGACACGCTGCAATAGAAAATGCCTGTGTAGACAAAAGCTTAAATTCTTTGTTGAAGCGGGACAAAAGGAGAACATTTTAAAAAGTGTATTTCTCTGGTGTAATGCTTGAACATTTTTCGTTAATTACTAAAAAACAATTAAAGAAAATGAATCCTACACGCAGTTAAAAGTATTGCAAAAAAACTATAAAACATAACGTTAATTTTTTTGTTTAAGACATTTTCACAAGTAAAGGTTGTCAGTTACGTTTCATTGGTTATACCATTTAAGAAAATGCGATGCCAAATTACACCACAAGTGTAATATGAAGTCAAAAGCTTAGTGGCTTCCGCCAAATTAAAAACGTTTATTTTCTGAGTGCATTGATTTAATTTAAACGGCTTAATCAAGTGAAACTAATTATCGGGTTGATTCTAATTTTTCCGAATCGAATCACTTACCCGGGTCGATGTACTTAAGATTCCTGGCCAGATGCGTCAGCTGCAGCGGTATATATCGCGTATCCGCCCGGGGTGTCGTTTTCGGAGCGGGCGGCGAGGTGGGTACGCCCGGGCCCAGCGGACAGAGAAATGCCCGCTGGAGCTCCCAGCCCACCTCCGAGATGATGCTCGCCTTCCGAAAGTAGGGCGTCACTTCGCGTAGGAATTTAACTGCAAGAAACACGGGCAGAAACAAACCAGAGATAAAAACACCAGTGCAAATCAAACGATATCGCATGAATATGGATGCAGGTCGGGAAAGTGGGGTTGCTGGTATCGTCAGCATAACACTCGCAAATACAGCACATACAGCATTCAATCAGTTGGATTTTAAGCCTGCTTAGTTTAAACGTTTTTGCTGTTGCTTTTGCTGCTGCGGCAGTCTTGGCAAGCGCTGCGGCATAAATTCATTAGAGTTTCCGCTCCATTTTTATTCGATTTGCACACCCTAAGTCGCACGACTAGCGTCAAACTCCTAGGAACAGTGGGCATGTTTTTAAAACTAAGGGCTTAATACAATTTTTCGTTTCCCTAGAGCGTTTAACTATTATTATGGATTTATAAAGTGTATTTTAAATGGTAATCGATCGAAAGTTTTATTCAAGAATAAGGCTTTAAAAAAAAGGGAATCTGGAAATTAGATTAAACTTTTTGGTATTAATTTAATACCCAAACAACTTGTTGAAAACCCTAGGCTGATTAGACTCCTATTTACGTAAACCCATTGAAGTTGTAAGTCAATTTGGTATATGATTTTTGTATTAGCATAGATATCTCAGCAAACCACTGTGCCTGCCACTAGTATGCAAATGGAGCTGAGGATGCCAGTTGCCCTGCCTCCGAGGGAAAAGGAGTGTTTTCCAAGTCTCCCCACTCCGAGTCGTATATCTAACTGGCAAGTCCCACACCCTTTCAACCAAAGCTGGGCCCACTTGATATGCTCAGGATTCCGCCCACAACATTTGCACAATTTCCGTTTGCTGTTGTCGTTGTCGTTGCTGTTCCTGTTTGTGTTGTTGTTGTTGTTGTTACTACCGTCGTCGTCGCATGGCGTTCGAGTGATTTGGAAATTCAATTTTCACACTTAATGCCATCGGGCGACGCTTGCCGGCGGTTTGTCCGACTCAATTCGTGTGTTTAGCTCAACTAATTAGAGCGGACGGCCACACGGCGGATGGGTGATGCGATGGCAGGCGTCCACCCCCTTGCTAATTGCTTGCCATTTACGAGCTCTGGAAGGTGGAAGCCGCCAGGGCACTCCAGCCCAGCTCCCGGTCTTTAACTCCTCCGCCTCCTGAAGTTCTGCAAACATTTGCATTCACAAATATGCAACCGACGACAAACAAACTGGCAAACAAGCCGGGCAACTAAAAATAAAAAAATGTTGCATAGCGGCAGGCGCAAAGTGTGATGAAGCTTTCGAGGAAAAGGGGTTTGGACTGATGGAGGGGGAGGGGGTTGGTATTTTTCGGAGTGGACTGCAGAGCAAACTAAACCAGAATACGACAAACGAGAAACGAGAAACGCAACTGGCAGCGGCAAAAGTTTAGGTGCAACAGCAAAAACAACAATAACAACGGTAATAAGTTGTGCAAATTTTAGCATTTCAGTGTAAATAAAGTTGCCCGTTCCATGAGTGTTTGTGTGTGTGTGTTTGTGCTGAAAAACCATTCCAGAAAAACAAACAAGTTAGGGAAAAGTTGGCTGAAAAACCACCGCAGGCCACAATTGTTAGCTGCTTAAGTATGAATATTTTGCGCTTACATTTTTCAAATAAATATGGAATTACAAACAATCCACTGAAGATTAAAGTCAAGAATTTGCTTAGTGCTGCCAACATGTGGGTTAAATCAACAGACCACGAAATGTTGAGAAAAGCAATTTGTTAGACGCTTTTAAACACTTTTGTTTAGCAAAAACCTCCTGAAATGTATTTATTTGTTGAACTTGTTTGATCGTTGTAAGCTTTTAAGTAAAGTTCACTACTGTACTTTTTAGTTTGGCACCCAGAAAAATAAGTTTTATACATACAGAGCTAATACTTACTATAACATTCAATGCTTTCACATAAATAACGCAATTAAAATCACAAATAACGATTAATTAATTAATTAAATTTGCGTCGTGTGAACAAATACCCAGAAAAATTTCACAAATCCCCTTAACACGCCACTAAATGCATTGATTGCCCAAAGACCCTTGCTATTCTTCTCAAGCCCTAAAGTAAAGTTTAAGTGTTCTTTTTATTTAATTTAATTTAAGCCCCTTGCATTTTGTTTTACACAGCTCTATGAGATCATCCTTACGGTAGTAATATTGCTTAAAACGCATTCATTTGACTCCGCTCTCTGGCTTTTTGCACTTCCCACATTACCCCACCTATTTCAGAGTCGGGCCAAAAAACTTTTTTACACCTTTGCCGACAAAAGGAAATCCTGCAAATCCGGCAATCCTGCCACCCCAGAGCATAAATCAAGAAGGCAAGCCGTATAGTGGGCGTGGCCGGTCGGAATATGATATCAACAGCAGGCGGCATTCGGAATTCGGCAAATCGTGCGTTAAAACAAACTTTGCGCAAAACTTTTGCGAGCAGAATCTCACGCGCTCCTGGGAGGAAGTGGGCAGGTTGGTTAAGTAGGAGCCACTGGGGTGGTGCTGGGGGGCTGGAGGGTAAGTGGACCGTTCGGTGGGTCCACAAATGTGTGCCAAGCTGTAAAAACCAATGCTAATGGACTTCTGGGAGGCTTCTGCAAAGCCAACTGTCGTCGCCTCCGTCGCCTCCGTCGCCATCTCGGAAATCTGCCGCTGACATTTGGCAGTCGGAGCTGGGAATCCAGTTGCAGAGCCACCGCTCGCCCGCCCGCACTCTTGGCTTCTTGGCTTATTTAAATTACAATGAGACGGCTGCCTACGCGCAAATACTTTGGGCCAAAGTTGTGCGCACAGCGGCCAGCGGAGCTTGGCAAACAACTTGGCCAACTTGTAAATTGAAGTTCGAATCAAGAGGTGGGCCGAAGTCCGGAGTCCGGAGTCCGGAGTCATTGGGCAGAAATGGGGCAGGATAGTTGTGAGCCGTTAAGCATGTCGCCGCCCATTCATGGCTAAAGGCTTTTGAAATTGTGATTACATTTGCGCCACTTTGCGTGCCTATAGATCTGGGGCACTTTAATTTAATGAACACACCGCTGAAATTATGAAACGACCGCAAACCGAAAGCCGAAAATCGAAATGCTCCCTCAATAACATAGCGAGCAGTGAATGCGCAAATCTGGAGCTCACGGAGCGGGGTAAGTTGGCTAATTGATTGGATTGGTTTATTAAGAGGAATGTGGGACTTGTAATCAAATAAACATATAAATTCAAATGAGATTAAATATATAAGAATGTGGGAGGCTAACAACTTAATAATAAAGTTTAAAACGTATTTTTGCAGTGATTATTATCATTTTAAATATTTTTGGGAATTTCTTTTCACTTAGTGCTAGCAAAAACAATCGGTAGCACTATTGTTACTACTACTATTGGGCTCACTATCAATACTATCACTCTATAAAAATATATTAATATTTGCAGTATATTGCGGTGTATTTCTGGAAACTTGTTGCAATTTTCCACCCTCAGGTGACAATGCATTTCCAAAAAGTTCGAGCAGAATCAAGTTGGGCTAAGAAGTTACAAAAAACGTAGTGAGACAGTGACAGGCAAAGCGTCATATGACAATTTCATTTCTAAAGTAGATGTAAATATAAATTCGCAATTGTTAAGCAGCGTCAAGTAGAACAAACTAAGAGTTTGGATTTGTTCTTATTGATATTTCGTTCTTTTTCTTCTTTCCTGAAGCTCAACCATTTTCGATAATATCGATAGTTTCGATAGAAACACCATCGATAGCCAAAACTGTCGATAAAACAAATATTTTAAATATTTTTGATTGATTGATAAATTGATTTTGTTACTTGGTTAAATAAAACTCGTATTTAAAGGTGGCGAAACAAAATTTCAAAAGGTTGACAAATTGAATTTTCTGCAAATGCTAAGCAGAGTACAAAAGTCTCGCAGCTGTGCCGAAATTCTCCAAAAATAGTTTACCCGCTGTAATTGGCTCGCAATAATATATTTTGGCCCAGAAAAGGCGGCGAAATGGATCAGCAGCAACTCAACATGGACATGTGCTGGCCCAAAATTAAATGCGACTCAGACTCGCTGACTTGAGCTGGGATTGTGGAGCTCTGTGGCTGCGTGGCATGCGAGGCACGTTGACGACGATGACGTGAGTCTTGGAGGGCTTGGAGCCCGAGATGGAACTCAAGTTTTGCGGGATGGGGTGGGCCGGTCGTTGATATTAAAGCGCCATTAACATTGAGCTTGATGGCTGCTTTGATGGGCCACGATACGTTTTTAAATGCGCGAATATTGTCAGTTGTCCCATACATTCAGATTCGGATTCGGATTCGGATTCGAATTCGGATTCGCACTGTGCATCTGGGATCGAGTGAGTTATCATAACCCCCCAGCGCAGGCGACCTTGCGACCGTTACTGAATTCTGATGGGAGAATCGGCTGCATGGAGTCGCAAACTTGGCATAAATAGCGGAGCACCCACAGCAGCCGGGCACAAACCGTTAGCATTCGTCCAGCAACCAACAACATGAAGAGCCACCCCATCCTGATCCTGGCCACATGCCTCCTGGCCCTCTGCGCCGTCTCCGCCATGCCGCAGTGGCGCCATGTGAAGAGTCAGCGCCAGGTGGAGTACTCCTCCACGCCCTACCCGGCAGCCGGTTTCCGCCCCCGAGTGCCCTTCAACCTGCCCGGCGAGCTGCAGCCCAAACTCGAGACGGAGCCCCTGACCACCACCAGCACCAGCACCACGACTCCCAGCGAGGTGCAGCCCCTGGAGAGCACCGAACCCCTGAGCACTACCGAGCAGCAGGAGTCGGAAACGGAACCAGAAGCGGAAGTGGAAGCGGACTTGGAGCTGTCCGTCCGGACGCCCGCCAACACCTACGGAGCGCCCGAAGAGCAGAACCCGCTGGAGCCCGACACCGTGGAGGTGGTGGCCCAAGAGCCGGCCCGTGACTTTCAGCCACCCTCACTTGAGTCCGTCGAGGACTTTGCCGCCGCCGGCACTGTTGCTGCTGGCAGCGAGCAGCCTGTTGCTGATGTCCCTGCCCTGGGCCAAGCGGACTCCCAGGACTCCCAGGAGAGTGAGCCGGAGCTGATTGCGGAGGCGGAGGCGGAGGTCAAGGCCGTGACCCCGGCAGGAACCTACGGACCACCCGCCGCCACGTACGGAGTGCCCGAGCTGAGCGAGCCCGAGAACGAGCTGGATCTGGAGGAGTCGCAGGTGGAGCTGGTGGACGAGGAGGCGGCGGCGGAGGAGGCGCTGACCAACGAGCTGGCCAGCGGTCGGCTCATCCTGCTGCCCCTGGGCGCCAGGGGAGCTCGGTTCGGACGCCTCGTCCTGGCCGTGGAGCAACCACGTCAGCGCTTGAGGAGCGAACGCCTGAGAAGGATCTAAGTGTTCACCTGTCCAAAAGTGGAGATTATTTGACCCAAAATATACGTACTTAACGGAACATTTTATGCGTTTGTGGGCAGCTCTTTTTGCTATGAGAAAGAAGTGGGAATAGGTAAGCAAATGTATATCGACCCATAAACTCGGACTTTATGAAAGGTGTTTTACTCGAATTCCATTTGCACAAATCGAAATGTCGATTTTAATGTTTCTGTATCAAGCTGCCACAACCTTTTAGATGCACCCAGAAAAAAATATGGACTAAAAGCGCAAAAAATTGACTTAAAATAAGGTTATATGGACTAAAATTTGGCTCAAGGTAATGACAGATTTAAATTAAGCCCTAAAATTACTCCAAAACAATATCTGAATTTAATATAATGTACACTTTAAAGCAATGGACTTAAACTCTTAAAGCCACTTCAGCCCTTAAATCTAGCAGTTTGGATTCTCTGAGTGAAAACTTAAATTGTATTCATTTTAAAGGGAAACCAACAAATGGGATGCTTACATTAAGTAAATTAGTCACTGTGGACGGCAGTAAACGTAGTGATGACTTGTACTTTTAGAGTGTGAGGATGAAACTACTAATATGTAGTTGTTACTTGTTAAAAGTGAATTTATTTAGTCGAATGTGTTATCATTTTTCGACACAAATTTTTGATATCAGAAATTTCAGTCACGACTTTTTACTCACTAGAGTTTAGAAATATTTCAACATTAAGGCGTTGAAGATTTGTGAAATAGATTATAAATAAAAAACTAGTCTGCTTGTGAGTTAATTAAATGTGAGTTGAATAATCTCTATAGAGATCCTAAAGCGATTGCTAAGTTGTAGCAGCTGCTGTCCAGGAAACGTGTATGTCAAGGAAATGAAATTGGCTGCGTCAAAGGGGGATTGCCCGACCCATCCTTATTCCCATCATTTCGCAGAGGAAGTTGTTTCGGCACAATTGTCGGGCACGGTTCATTGCATTGTTTATGCCAAATGGCTTGGCTTGTGATTGGGTCACGCCCACAGGATGCACATGTGGGTGTGTCGGTGTCAGTGTGTGTGTGTGTGTGTGTGTGTGCGCAAGGACATCCACCCATACATCGCCTAATTGATGCTTACTATTGTTTATTGTGTTTTGTGCGAGGAGCCGGGCAAAGCAAAGCAAAGCAAAGTCAAGCAGAACTGAATGGAGAAGCACAGGAAACGAGACTCCAACTTTGCCCGACCATTCTGATTAGGCATTGTCCTGGCTGTGTGTCTGTGATTATGATTACGATGATGATGTGCTGGTGTGATTATGTACTTGGGTTCTTATTAGATCAGGCCTTGCACTCGTATACCAATTTTTAAAGTGCGTGCGAGAATATTTGCTTATGCAGTGTATTCTCGCAGACAACTATTGTTCACTGAACCGTTCACGAGTTGAGATTAAATGGAATGCAAATTATGGAAGAGCCTTTAATACAGGAATGCCTTTAAACGTTGTTGAACATGCTTCAAATGACATTGATGGTAGAATAATAATGATAAATATCTTATATATATTTAAGGTGGATTATTATTTTCGTTTACCAGTTTCATCACCTATAACCTTTTATTTATTTATGTCTTTCACCTTTTGCTTGTCAGCTAGTCAAGCAGTCCCAACATTCCGTCCTTCCTCAACCTGAATCATTTTCGCTTTTTGCCACTCAACGCCAGTGGGTGGGTGCACCACCCACAAGAGGCGACTGTGTATTTTTGGGCCATTTGATCAAATGGAAAGAAAACTTTTCTCATTACTCATTGCCAAGCCGGGGCAAACAAACCAGGCAACGAACCAACCAACCAACCATCCAGCCATCCAGCCATCCAACCAACCTGCCAACAAACCAGCGCAACTAACGGCAGTCAACAGCTAACAGTCAACATCAAGCGGCGGGCCAAAGGGGGGATTTCACCCCAAAAGGGGGGCTGGATGCTGGGGATTTGTAACAGGACCCAGCTGCAACTGTGGCAATAGCAGTCGCAGTGGCTGCGGCAGTAACTCGCATGTTTTGCTGAGTAATCCCACGTATGTATTTGCACTAAAACCCTCTGTTCCGCCTTTCCAGCTCGCTACTCCACCACCACCGTGGGACGGATGCCACAACAACGGGACAAAAAAGAATCCCCTCTGTCGGTCAATTAATCACGGTTGAACAAGTTTGCAAAAGATTATCTGTGCAGTTATGGGGATGTGCGAGGAGGAAGGAATCAAAGACACAATTTATCACAAAAACAAGCTGCAGATAAAAAATGTTTCAAATTTATAGTTGCCAGGAGGGGATCTGGAGTTTGAGATGGATATTATTGCTCACGATTGGGGACTGCGTTTAAAACTTTTATTTTATATCGATGTTTTCAAATCGAATTTTTCATGCAGTGAGCAGAGAGTAACTTGGAACGGACATTCATTCAAATCATTTTTTATATATATGCAACTTACGTTGCCCCTACTTTTAGCAGTGCTCACAGAACTGTTTTGCCTTTTTTTTTTTAAGCCGAAACTTCGCTAATCCATCCCACTGTGCCCAACTGTTCGCGATGGCACTCATAGTTTACTTGTTAGTTTGACTCGCGTTTTTTAAGCTCTTCCCTTTTTCAGCACTCCACCTTTCCCATTCCGTGTGGGCGAAATGTTTTACGCAAATAACAATTTGACATGCTGGCCAGAGAGTAACGAATGTATCGTCGGCGCACTTACCTTCCAGATCCACCACCCGACCGGACCGCTTGAGGGCCCGCACCGCCTCGTCGTGGGTGGCGTCCCGCAGCTCCTCCCCGTTGACCGTCAGGATGGCGTCGCCCACGTAGAGGCCCTTGGCCTGGTCGGCGGCCATGCCCCGGAAGATCTTCGAGATGAGGATGGGCATCCGGTTCTCGCGACCGCCCTTTATGGAGATGCCCAGGCCGTTGTTGTCCGACTTGATGATCCGCACGTGCCGCTTCTGGTTGGCCACATGGTCAGGTACGTCGCACATATCCATGCCGCCCCCGTCGCCGGCATTGTTGTTGTTGTTCAGGCAGAGGTCGCGGTCGCCGTTGTCGTTGCTAGTGGAGCCGTCCAGCTCCGTGTCCTGAATGTTCATCCCCTGGAGCGAAGCGGAAGTTGGCAGGGTGCCGTTCTGGCCAGTCCCACCAGAGCCACCTCCGCCGGCGCCACCGCCTCCTCCGCCACTGTGATTGCTCCTGTGGGAAAAATGAGTGTTTGAATAGCTACGAGTTTTTCTTCTTTGAAATTGGTAGGATTATCGGTCTATGTTAGTGCATTCAATGATACTATTTTTTTTACAAAAGTTATATATTCATTTAAAATCTGAATACTACAGTTTTTAAGACTTTTGTTTTACAGCCCACCCTCTAGCTAGTTATTAAACGAACTATAGTCTGTTATAAAATAGATGCTTGCATTCCCTTTGATAAATGCACAGCAACCTGGGATATACAGAATTTTCAATATAAATAACATGAACCAACAGGCTTGCACTTTTCAAATTTTAGTATGTAGGGAGTGGTATTTCTATTGACTCTGGGGGGGAAAGAAATCCCTTCCAACCAAATTCCAACCGTAAGCCATACAAATGCTGTAAGACCAAGCTCCATTCCAAAATTCATATAAGTTCGGTTGAAGTTTGGCTATTGTGACTGACTTGTTGTGCTGGGCTTGTTAAAATATATAAATAAATGTGATAAATTACCATGTAATAGGTCTACAAAAACACTAATTTTATAAGGTCTAAAAACTAAAGGAAGTCCATGGGAATTAAGTGTGCTTTCATAATTTTCCCCACAGCTTACCCCAAGGTTCCGTTCAGGGTGGTTGATTGGCCATCGTTGGATGGTTGTGACGCCTCGCAGGACTCGTCAAGACTGACGGCCAGAAAGTCCGTTTCCAGTGTGACTAGGACGCGGTACCAGGCGCCGCGCACCCGCGTCTCCATGTTCCCGCACCGCAATCCCGAGGGCGACGGGGAGTGCTGCTGCGGAATGGGCTGCTGGGCTGCCGGCGGGGTCCGCCCCAGACTTGAGGATTCCACCATGATTCTTCTCTGACTTCGATTGCACGATGCTGATATGTGGCTCTACATGGCATCCGCCAGAAAAGGCTGAAAAGATAAATGAAAAATTCGAATTTTAATTTCAATATTCATTGCGTGAGCTTAACTAGCAGCTTATAATATGTGAATTTTTGATTATGCCTGATATTTTAAATAACTGGTGATTTTTGTGGCATTCAAAAATAAACAAGAGACAACTCTGTAGTCAACTATTAGATACCCGTTTCTCCGCCAACAAACTTCAAAATATCAATATATTCCCCCTAAAAACAATCGAAGTTTAGGTGGCGCCATCTTTCAACTGCATAGCCAACACTAGAAGCTTAGAGCGCGCAGCACCCAGAGCGGCGGCAGAGCAGCGGCAGAGCAGCGGCAGAGTAGCGGTAGAGCAGCGGCAGAGTAGCGGTAGAGCAGCGGCAGCGCAGTGGCAGAGTAGCGGTAGAGCAGCGGCATAGCAGCGGCAGAGCAGCGGTAGAGGACTTAATATCCATAAAATTTCTAAAATAATAGCTCGATTTTGAACATTTTTGTGTCTACCGATAGATATAAGCGAAGCAGTCACACAGAGTCCAATAGCGACGGTCTAACATGTCTCAGAGTGAAACGTTTCCTTCTACCTGTAACATACTTTTCAACGAATACAATATACCCTTTTACTCTACAAGTAACGGGTATAAACGAGCAGCAAATCATTATTTGCTGGATGCAAAATTCATTAATTCTCTGTGTGCGATAAAATAAAAGCTCGGCCTAATTTATTGGTATTTGAGCAATAATTAACAATGTGACAGTAGAGCGGATGTTAGGTCTTATTGAACTAATTGCTTAGATAAGCGAATAAATTTTTACTGCAATCGAATGCATGGAAACGTTTTGCACAAGTGAATTACTTTTTCCGCAACCAGTTTGGTCATTAAGATAAAATCAAAGTGTGGCAGCCAACGATTTGCAATTGATTCTCAATAGTATCTCCAGTTAGACATGCAGATGACACAGACTGGAGGGAATTGCTGGCAATAAGCGGATATCAAATTAAATGTCCGGCATGCGGATGACACACAGAGACAGAAATGCGTAGCGGAAGGCAGGACATTTGTCATTGTTTTGCCAGGCCAGGATTTATTGCATTCTCCGACAAGCCAAGAAGCAGTGCTGTGGGGTCGCCTGGGCGGCAATGCCAAAAGCCGTGGCATTTGGGGCACACATCCCCCCACAGCCCACCACATCCGGCCACATCCTTCCACTCACATCCTTCCACATCCTTGGCAGCCGTAGTGCAACAGTTCTCCGCTCGGAGCTCTGCAATTACGCATCTTGTCGCCGCCGCGGGACTTTTTCTATGATTTTCTATTTGACAAGTTGCCACTCTCCGAGGAGCAGAACTCCTGACTCCGGGAACAGGGGTCTCCCAATGCCTCCCAGTTGCCGGGGCTTGGGCACGGGCATGGGCATCCAATTCGATTTCGTGCTCACGCTCTCAACCGGAAAAGGACTGCTTCAGTCAGACACATCCTGTTTCTGCGACTCTGATTGCGCCTGTGTGAGTGCCGTTTGTATGTACATTTCCGCTACGATTCAGCAGGAAGTAATTTTGCCGCTGCTGCTGCTTCTTTTCGCAACGTGGCTGCCGTCACCAAGTCTGTTTACTTTGCAATTTATTGTGCAACATTTGTAATTATTATTGCAATGCCGCAGCTCAAGGCCCCCTCCGAAGACTTGGCAAAAATTTATAAAAAACTTTTCCAAGTGTGTGACTGCTTGAGACGAAGGACGAATGCGCTGGCAACGTTGTCATCAACACGCTCATAATTGTATGTAAACACACCCAAACAAACACAAGGCATTCGCCTTCACATTTAAGGGCGAAGAACGAGGGCTGTCTCGTGACTCTGGGAACTTTTAAAAATGCATGAGAAAAATGGGTTTAAATAATGCATATCTAGAAAAGAGATTCAAAGTGTTATCAATCAATATCAAACAAAAATCGTAAGAATCTTTCGTAAATTCCTGTCATAAGAGACTAAGGCATTATCCTGCGCATTTATTAAGTTTATTTTCCTGCTAAACCCAACTTAACTAAATTTAACGTCTACGAATACAGACAAGGATATCTAAATCATTTAGCAGTGACTAATTTTTAGTTTTCCAGGTGTAGGTGGGTCATCAAAGAGTACTAATATTCTCTAAAAATACAATTATTTTATTATTGAATAAAAAATATAATATGCAGAAAGAATGTATATATTTTCGTGTCCGAACATTCAATTCAAATGATATGAAAACATGCGTTAAAAAAACAATGGCCAATTAAATCTTTATAAAATTAGAAAAAAAATTCCCCAAATTATTCCCATGACGCAGTAGCTTTTGTTTTCAAGTAAATATAGTATCTTTACATTGTTCTCTGGTTCCAATTGGAACAAAAACAAATCATATGAAAATGTTAGTCAAAGTCCAATTGTACTTCATTGTGCTTAACTTATTTGCATACTGCTAAAAAACTACATATATTTGTGGGTAAATGATAATAAATATTTGATAAATTGCGAAAAAGTTAGTTGTGAAAGCCTTTGCAAAATAGCCCCAATCAACGAAAACTCTCGTAAAATAAATGGGAAATGTTGCTGGCGTCTCGCTGACTTCGCCAAAAGAGATTTGGACGGTTTGTAGGGCTGTGTATGTGTATCACGCCCCCTTGGAACACCCCGGCAATTGCCGCCCCCTCCACCCCCCGCTCCGTCATCGCCTAATAAGCGCCGGACGTCGCTTGTCGTCAGCGTCTCTGCCGTTTTTCATGCTGCGCTTTGGCTAATTTAATGCCGGGCGGTCATAAATTATGAGCCCGAAAGTAGGCAGCGCGAAAATCGGAAAAACGGACAAAAAATGGCACACAAATGCTGGGAAGTGGCAGCAGCTGCTGCAACGAGTACATATACATTCGCATTCACATGGAAGTTGCATTCAGCTCGAACAAAATTTTTTCGCGCTTTCACGTAATAACTTTTTTTTGGCGCCGCTTTAAGGCCTTTCTTTTTTGCCCGATTTTTTTTCGCTTACTCTTTGTTTTTTGTGCCAATTTTTTTAATGCAAACTTGGTGATGGGTGAAAAGGAGGTCCTTTGTATCGATATATAAAGCAGCAGCGGCAGCAGCAGCAGCAGCAGCAGCAGCCCAATGCGGAATTGCTATAAATACGTAAAGCGTTTTTCCTAGGAGTCCTGCCTTTGCCAAGCGGAAATATATTACCCTGCGTGTGTCTGTGTGTGCGGAATTGCGTAAGTGTGGGGCTTGTGGCGGCGCCATCAAAAAGTCATAAAATCATAATTTGTAAACGAGAATTTATTTCGAAAAATATTTATGGCTGGCTCCGGCTCCGGCTTCGTTTTGCAGCCACAGCAGCTCCATGGAATTTGCGCTATTCGCTCCGACCTGCGGATGTGTGGGTGCGTATCTATGCGAGTGTGCAAATGTTGCTTCATTAGAGCGAGTGGCAACAACTGGTGCCCTCACCCTTGCCATCGCATTGTTTCCCCACATTAATTTAATCCGCAACCTTTTCCCACCTCGGCCCTGTATTTAATTCTCTTTATCTGAACCAGTTCAGGTTCCTGCATTTTAATGGAAATGTATGCAAAAATGCTGCGCCAGTTGATGGCGGTAAAGTCTCTTATACGTTTAATGGAATCTTGATCGTTATCGGCGAAATTGACAACGATATATTGCGGATGGATGGCGGTGAAAGAAGGCCAGGACAGGCTGAATCTGAATGGTCGTTTCAATTGCGGAACGCTCTTTTTATTGCATACTTTGGGGCTCTCGGGGAAATAGAGTGAGTAGGAGTCGTAAAAAGTGCCCAGGTGAAAATCGTTTAATGTTAATGGGAAAATCAATTTGAAGGAATTGAAAATAAAAAATAGAACGAATGTCTTTTTTTCTAAATAATATATTTAAGCGTTAGTTCAAGATGAGAAAGGTATAAATATAAAAAGTACATATATTTAATTTCCCTTTAAGCCTTATACTTCTGGAGAAGAAAAGTTCAACTTGAAAATATTGAAAAAAGGCTAGGCTATATATATTAAAAAAACGCGAAAACCTCACTGCTGGTTATTTAACTTTATTTAAGCCAATTCATCGTCGTCAGCAAGGTCCCATTTTTCCGCCAGTCTCGTTTTTTTTCTTATTTCGCCCCACATCCGGCTTAGCTTCGATTAAGGTAGAACCCCACTAGGGAACACATGTCTTGCCGCTTGGCCTTGACACCGCCTTGAGCTCTTGGCCCACTTGGTGCCCACCTCTCGACCTCCTCAACCTCCTGGCCTCTGATGCCATCGAAGCCTCTTAATCATTCTTAACAATGCCGCCACACGTTGGGCGGGCATTAAGCTCTCATCCCGCTCAACTGGTGGAAATCGATACGCATTTACGTACATATATTCCGGAATATCTACATATAAATTGCGCACTAATGATCTTTAAATACACATAATACCCAGGACATGCCGCACACACAAAGAGCAGCAGCCACTCGTTTTGTGGGCAGGGAAAAGGGAGGAGATTCCATCGATGCCCCCAGTTGGATTAGTCATTTGGTTACCAGAGTTTTGCCTGTTGTGTTAGCTATTTTTGTAATGTGAGAACTCAACTGAAAGTAAAATAACCTTATAAGCTTAGCAGAACCGCGTTGGCACTAGTCAGAGTTAGAGTTTTGTAAAACAAGTTAAACAAATTCAGAAAAACGATAATGAAAGGATTGACACCGAATTTCTTTAACAGTTTCCTTTTTAACGTACAGAATTTCAAGGACTTTTAATTAAAATATATATTAATATATGATTGATAGAAATTCGTAACTAAATAATTTTAATTTGTGTAAACATTTTAAAGTCTTACTCTCACCCGCTTTACTTAGCTTTTATCGTTTTAGTCTCTGTCCAAGGACTGTGATAAACCTTACTTACTTAGTTATTCTATTTACATCACGTGTCGTATGTGTTATTTTAACAAAATCTTGTAACCACCGCGCAACAATTAAAACTGAAAGGAAATCGACTTTAAAAAAAAAAGTAAACTAGCTACTGCAAACCGAACCCTTGCTTTTGCAAAAATTAAATATTCCTGAAAATAATTAATTTTCAATTTATATGCGTATATGTTTAAAAACATTGAATCTATGGTGATTTTCAGCTCAATTATTCGATCGTTTCTATGGCAGCTTTATGATATCGTTTTCCAATTTTAATAAAATTCGAAGCGTATATCTGAACTATCAAATTATTACTATGGTCAAAAGAATTTAAAAGAAAAATTCAAAAATACAGAAGTCAATTTTTTTTAAATTTATTATTTCCATATTTTTATTGTTTCCATGGTATGAAATAGTCGTCCGTTTTTAATGATACTTAACCGGTAGTTCTGAAATATTTAACCAATGCTATTTCTTAAAGTTATAATGTTTTTTCATTTATTTTTCCGACTGTTCCTATGGGACCTACATATATGCTATAGGAGTCCGATTCGGCTTATATACTACCTCAAATAGAAAGACATCTTTCATGCAGATAGCTTTAAAAGTGAGAGACTAGTTTGCGAAGAAACGGACGGTCAGACGGACATGGCTAGATCGACTGAAATTATAATACCCTCTGCAAGGGTTTAAAAAAGACATTACCAATATACTTAAGTGACATTTCCATTATTAGCTCACTAGCCGGTGAGTGTAAACTTAATTATCCCATACCATTTAAAGGATGGTATTTAGTGTTAACCACACAGAAAAATTCTGACGTTCAGTAATTAAAAGAAAATGTTAGTTACTTTTTGGCCGATTTATTTTGGTAGATTCTCATTTTAAGAAAATATACTTGAAAAAATCACTTAAGTACTCAATTTGAGTTTTTTCGTTCTTGAAAATTTATACTCAAACTGAGTAAATTGAACTCAAACTGAGTGCAATATACTTGTTTATTTTCTCTGTGCAGTGACCCTCAAACCTACATCTATTTATATCATTTTACTATCGCTTATTTGTGCCCCAGTGTAAACGCGGCTTTCACAGTTGGCTTGGCCTCCTGCTGTTGGTATGCCAATTCATGTGTGTCGCCGTGTGTGTGGGATTTGGATAGATATTTCACGTGCTCACCGCAAAGCCGCCGCAGCGACCGATAAAAGCCAAAACAAACCTCTGAGATTTGCTTATTAGCACACCCGCCCACACGGCCAAAAGCACTCCTGACCCTCCCCTCTCACCGCGCCCAGTGTCACAACATAGCCTGACTCTGTCTGACAAATTATTCAGCATTGATTAATTATGAAAATGCGTTTATATTGATTGTCGTGTGTGGGTTCGAGAGGCTTATGTGAAGGGTTGCGTGTGTATCGGCTCTCGGGGTGTGGGAGTTATGGTCACAGTTCTGGTGTTTGCCCAATTTCAATCCCAAAAACCACTTGCATGCCTGCTCATGTATATTAGTTGACATTCTGTGGCGGTCTATGGCAAAACAATTGACAAGAGCTGGTCGGCCTCATTTGCTTGATTTTGCACTTGAGCTAAGCTTTATACAATCTGTATTTCTAAGTGCAGAAAGACGACAAGTTTATTAATTATTATTTATTAGGTATTGCAGTGCCTGCAAAAACAAAGTGATTCGAATGTTAAGAATGTTAAATCTGTAATCAACATCTTAAACTGTATTTTCGAATTTGGGGTTAATCAAAATAGAAATCAAAATAGCGTGTCTGTTACAATTGTCTTTTCAACAATCATATTTATTTTAATTAACCGATTGATGGAACTGACAAGTTAACATTCCTTGAATTATGGGATTTTTATATGTCCCAGTTTTAGGAATTTTTTAAAGTATTTATTGAATTGATTTTTGTTGACCATCGTTAAAAATGGCAAAAAAAACTTAAATTATAGTTATTTGCATAGAATTAAATTAGGAAAGATTAATATTATGTAGTCAATTATATAAAATAATAATAATTCCACCACTAGAAATGCGTTAAAATTAGTTGAGGGAACTTTGTAGATAGACAATAAAATAATACAAAATTAGCATAGGCTGATAGTCCTACATAATGTTTAGCACATTCCGGGAAAGGTTATATGCAAATGTGTTTTACTATCAATTCTCGGATAAACAACAACCAATTATTAAATCAACCAAAGCTATCGTTGTCAAACGCCATTAAAATCAAATCAAGATACGAGACCCAATTATTTTTGTCACTGCCCCAGGCAAGCTGTCAAGAATCCAGGGGCTAATGAGGCCCACAGATTTCGAGCAGTGCAGACCGACTTGGGGATTATTATGTATTGCCGTTGGCAAACACTCAACGCCGCAGTGCAAGCATGTAAATGAGACGTTCGGCTTGAAGGGGGTTGCAGGTGATGTGGGATGGAATGGGATGGGATGGGATGGGTGGGAGATGAAAGGTGTGCGGAGTGTCTGTAATCACCGAAGGCGGCTAACAGCAGGTGGCCGGAGACAAAAGTCAAACGACTGGCTGAGGGGGTCGGAAAACGGAAGGGGCAGGGGGAGGGCTTACGATGCTTTTCTCCACTTATTAATTGCCAGTGTCTTGGCATAATTTCCACTCATTTGTCTGTTGAATGCAAGTGGCTGAAGCATTGTTCTCCGAGCATGGAATCTCCTCACTTACGGAAAGAAACGGCAACGGAGTGAGCCCTTTCGACAGGCATATATCCACAGAGAGAAAAGGTGTTAATGAAACTTATAAAAATGTATATACGGTGAACAGGAAATTAAAAAAATCACGATTGAATCAGTTTTTTTCACAAAAATACACACTAGATAAACATGCTGTTTAATTAAACAATAATAAAAAGTGCCTACATGTGTTTTGGTTGTGCATATTATGGATTGAAAATTACCGAAATACATTGATAGTTGTAGTTAAAAAACAAAAATGAAAGGTTTTCGAGGGATCGAGTAAATTTTATCTTAACTAAAATTTATATTAGGGTCAAAACATATGTATATCTGAAAGGAACATTCTTCTACATTTGTAACCGTGTATTGTCATGTCTTTGCATGAAATGCAAAATGTGATGATGCAGCTTCATTAAGTGCAATTTAAGTGCGATATTTTCTCGACGTCATCGTCGCCTCTCAGTCGCTTCGGTGAGCTGTTGAAAGGCGCGATGGATGACAAAAGGTAGCGGAAACAAATGGAACAAGAGCCGGGCCAAGAAAGGAACTGAGCAGCCGAGGAGCAAAGGAGCCGTTGAGCAGGAGTACGAAGTGGAAATACTCTAATGCAAGTAATTGCACGTCGCTCTGATTAAGTAAGCGCAATTTGGTTTCTTTCCCTTTTAGAGCTGGCAGCAGAATGTTAAGCCAGAAAGCGGATTACGCTTTTCTAAAAACGTAATTTGTACGCTAAATATGAAAGTGATATGGGAAAGAGGGTAAACTTTGGAGTGGCACCGGGCATAATTAGGTCGAGATTTATGAGAGGCAACCTTTTAAATACACATGCACGTGTGAGGTGTTTGGACAGTTTATTTGTAGTTCAATTTGTTAAAGGACACTTTTCAACAAACAAATTAGTAACCAATCCTTAATGGCTTCAAAACTAACTTAAATATTATTTTGTTGTTTTTTTTGTTTCTCATTTATTTTAATAAATATATATTAAATAAAAATCTTTGGCTGACACTATCGTCAACTTACAATATTGTTAGCAAAGGGTTGACCTTATGTCTTTATCACATTTGCTGTGTATGCTTGGGAATGCAAGTTCTAGTCAAAAACGTGCTTAACACATAATAAGTTAATGCGACTTTTAAGGTTTCCCTTAGTGGTTTTATTATTATGGGTTTTATAAGTGGAGAGAGCAAGAAAACTTTCAAGACTTGCATCTAGTCATCAACCCAGCAGTAAAACTAATCTTTCAATAAAGACTTTTGTCTATATACATACTTGAAACTTAATTAATTGAAATTTAGAACACAAATATGGGCATGGAAATGAAACCAAAACCCGAAAACTTTGAACTTGTTTTAATTTCGGTCTGCGCCCCCGCATGCAATGGTAACACTTTAAGCCGCACTCAAGATGATGAAAATTGGGCTTCGTGGCAGGCACTACCCTAATCCCGTCGTAATAATAATCCCCCTAAGTCCACCCACACTTTCGAAGGAAAAGCGAAAGGGAAAGGGCCAATGGCAAATGGTAAATGGTAAATGGCAACAAAAAATGTTAGTAGTGGTTATCTGTCAACACATATCGGCGAATGCATGTCAATTACTGCTTAAATGCTTAGCACAAAAAGCCGGCAAAAGGTGCGGAGTGTGGTTGGGGTTGGGGGGTGGGGGGTGATGATGATGATGATGTTGATGAATGCCGATAGTAAACGGAATTAACTTTCACGCAGCATAACGGCAAACGACTGCAGCAGCGACTTGAATGAAAGAAAAAGCTTACGCCGTCGCAGAGACGAAGCTTTTCGGCAAAGCGCGCGTAGTAAAAGTAACTGTGCGGGTGTTGGCACGGGGAGGGGGAGGGGGTTTTGGCCACCGTGCGTGGGTGGGCGCTCTTCGTAGACAAAGAAATGAGCATCAACAAATAAAGCAAATAAATACATATATTGCAAAAAGAAACGAATTAAAAGCGGACAAAACCAGTTAGCACCTACCTTTCGATCGTATTGCAGAATAATTCGCAAAAAGCAATTAATGCACAGAAACGTGAATTGGCGCCTGCGCATAAACACACACCTACACTCACTCACACACACTCCCACCAGACGTCTGCCCGTGTGTGCGTGTGTATTAAGGATTTTTTGCTTTCAATTTATTTTGATTTTATTCCACTACTTGGCAGCTCCGACTTGTTCAGTAGCATGAAAACTTGGTCGATTGATATTCAAACATTTAGGCGGTGTCAGCCGTAATTAACAAAATTCGATATAATACTGGTTGGCCAATTAGCTCTTCGGTTTTTGTCTGGCGCTTTTCATTATTATTGTTTGTTCGGCGGCGGCGACGGCGGCTCTGCTGTGAAAAGCCTTTGAAAAAGCGCGCAGCTGAGTTTGGGGGTCGTTAGAAAGTTGGTTGGCGAAAAACATACAAAAACACCGAATTATCCATAATCTTTCACTGCAAATTAGACACTATTTGTGCCGTTTTATCCCGGCGATTAATCGGTTATAGAGTGCGTTTTGTTATATTTTCATTAATATTTTCTAACGGGAACCGAAAGAAGCGCGGGTGAGAGTCAGAATTAAAACACTGTATGGTTGCGGGCTGCTTAAATAGGCTCGGTTCTCACTGAAAGCTCGCTCTGCTTAACTTCTCTCTGGAAAATCTCCCCCGCTGTTGAATTCCTGTTAACCGATTGGGGATGTTTAATTAGCAAAAAGGTTATTGCACGAGCGGTTTGAGTCGCAGGTAAGCAAGCAACTCAGTCTTGCACAAAAACCGTAGCTCAGACACAAACCGTAATAAGGGAACTGGATTTTGTTTTTGCGGCTAGCAATCGGTTTTAAAGAAGCGGCACGCTGTTATGGTAGCCACTGTTATATTCTGTGAGTCTAACATACATCCATTAGCACACTTTAAAATTATAATATACAGTGGTGGAAAAAATAATGGAAACGTATAATAAATATATTATATTATTATTCTATTAAGGAACAAAAATATTTAATTACATTTTTTCATTAACAGAAAAAATATAACAAGTATTTTCTTAAAAACACAGTACTTTTACAATTGTTTGAACTGTTAGTGATTTCTTTATATTAAGTGATATATTAATCAGTTTTTAAGCCTCCAGAGCACTAACGAGGCAACTTAATGTTCAGATTGGTAAAAAATTAATGATTACTGGCGCACCTCTCTATTTTTTGTAATTTCTCCAACAATTGTTTCTTGTATTCGAATTAAAGGATAAAGAATTCTTTTTTAAGGACCCATTGAATGCTCTAAATAAAATTTGGAAGCATGGGCTTAACCGGCCACTCTAAAATATTACTTATTTTTTCTTGGGAAAACTATTTGAATAGGGCTTACACGCGTTTAGGGTGATTATCCTGCCTATATTCCTACTTTAGATCCCTGCTTTACTCATAATATGACGTCAATAAACTCTTATGTATGTTAAATAAGCCTGGAACCTACATGTTCTTAGATTCGATATCCGAAGCTAAAAAAATGTCGACATGATTTTGCCTATGGCATTTTAAAAGGAGTTCTTGTGTGCTTCCAATGGAAAGAAGTAGTTTTTTTGGGATTAGTTAACATTTTACCACCATATTAAAACAAATTATTTTCAGTTTTGTTAGATTGCCACACATTTTTCCAATTTAGGCCAGCTTGGCATTAGACAGAAGCTTTTCCGTATTATTTTTAAACCCTTGCAGAGGGTATTATAATTTCAGTCAGAAGTTTGCAACGCAGTGAAGGAGACGTTTCCGAACCTATAAAGTATATATATTCTTGATCAGCATCACTAGTAGAGTCGATCTAGCCATGTCCGTCTGTCCGTCAGTCTGTCCGTCCGTTTATATGCAAACTAGTCTCTCAGTTTTAAAGCTATCTGCATGAAACTTTCCCAAAAGTTGTCTTTCTATTGCAGGTAGTATATAAGTCGGAACGAGCCGGATCGGACGACTATAGCATATAGCTCCCATAGGAACAATCGGAATAATAATTAAAAAAAAATTATAACTTTGCTGTTTTTCAATTTTTTGTTTAGTTCTTCGACTTATAGCAATGGTTAAATATTTCAGAATTATGTTTTAAGTTTTATCAAAATCGGACGACTATATCATATAGCTCCCATACAAATAATAAAAAAATATATAAAAGAACTATCAAATAATTAAGCTGCAAATCGTCATAGCTTCAATGTTTTTAAACATATACGCAAGTAAATCATAATTTTAATGTTTTCAAAAATGTTTAATTCTTCCGATAGCTGCAAGGGTATATGAACTGCTTTGCTTTCTTTTTTGTTTTTATTTATATTTATATTAGATAGAAATATAACTTACATTGCCGAGGGTTTCTTTAATCCTACTTCAAACAGCCTAGTTTTTAAGAAAACTGATGACACCAATGATTTAAGATCATTACTAAAAATTATTATGTTATAATTGATAGAAATACTAATTTATCCTATGACGTAAGTCGTTAGTCAATTTTCTGGTCTAGAAATTTAAAAAAAATCAATTGAAAGTTTAGACTTTCAAAAACGTGATCCTAAAAGGATTTTTCAAAATTCGAATTATTGTCGGGGACACTGCCAATTCTGTGGCGTGGAGTCCGAGCCATTAAAATCGGTTTCTAATCTTGAAATGCGTTTTCACGTTATAATAAACCGATACTCGAAAAGGTCGAAAAAATTGGTTAAAATACATTTTTTCTTTTCAAGTCTTTGTTGTTTTTGTTGTTTTAAATTATTTTATTTTGAATGTGGTCAACCCGATAACGGCATCTTTACTTATGAAGAATTCGTAAGATTTTTTTCCGATCTTTACAAGCGCTAAAATCATGTCAACCGTTTTTTTTGTGACCAAAAAACATATAAAAAATTGTCTAATGAAATGTTTTTCTTTTCTTCTTTATCTTATTTGAAAAAATGCTTCTAGACCAGAATGCCCACTTAAAATTTTAATCGCAGACTACACTATGCTTGACTAAAATATTTTATTCTTTATGCGGTAATTGAAGGAATTCTGTATAATGCAATAAGGTCAAGTGCTTTGGCAGTCGATTGCAGTTTTCATTTGAAACAACGCAAAGTATTGTGTTTAGCATTAATTAAGGGCAATAGTTTAACAATACAACTTTTTGGAACACGTCAACTGAAAGTCAACCAAAGGGTATTTAAACTTAAGAATGAACCTTGCCTACTAAAAGGCACACCAAACCAACGACTTTATTGCAGCAGTTAAAATTTGTAAATAAAAGTGGCTTGAAAATATAAGTGGCTTTAAGCAGTAAAATACTATTTAAATGTTTAAAAAATGTATTAAAAATATGAATTTATAAAATTTTATTTTATTTCTAAAAACAAAACAAAAGTGATTCAAGGAAAAACTTTTTGTAAATCGTTAGTCAAGGCGAACCTTATTCCGTAAAAAAAATTGTAACTGTTCCAATTCAACAAACCAAATAAAATGTGCACAATGCAAACGGCATAGCATAAATATGGCAATCAAACATTCTAAAAATATTGCAAAGGACCCTTAGATGCTTTAATTAATTAGAACTCCGGAAAATTAATTTTAATCATGCTTCTAAAATACCTTAGGTATTTCAAAGTTTCTTTTTTTTTTGCATCGAGATCCACCCATTTGCAGGAGGAATGGAGGGAATTTTCCCCGCCAAGAGATTTTTTGGTGGATGAAGAAAACAGAAAACTTTTCCACGCATCCAACGCATTTTTCACTGGCTGCAATATCGGTAATCATCAGCGGTGAGGAAAAACGTGCCGTTGCTTTGACTCTGCCTTGCTCCCAATACACATAGAAAAATTAAAAGGATTTGTTATGTCTGACCGTATAATAACAGAAGCCAATGTTTATATACCCACGCAGCTATTGCAAAAATTAAATATATATATGCATGTATGTTTAAAAACATTGCAGTTGTGATGATTTTCAGCTCAATTATCAAATCGTTTAATAAAATAAACATAATTAATGAATGAACGACAGACATACAGACAAACGTTTTTTAAGTATTTCTGAATGTGTTTTTTTTAATTAGCAAACTAAATACAAGTTATAGAAATGAGTTAATTAAAATCTCTTTTAATGCCTTTTTATGCAGTCTGATTTTCATATGAGCTTTTGAAAATCAAACAGGAGTTAACATAATTTTAGAAAAATCACTCAAGAAGGCAGAACTATAACTTAATTTATACAACCGATCTCAATGAAATTTAGCACAGGACTTCGATATATAATTTACAAGGTCTTGAATAAACGATTTGATTTTTTAATTACTACAATTTTAAAAAATTAAAAATGTCGAGAAATTTTCAATGTCTGTCAATAACAAAATTTGCACTTTTTTATTTTCCTTCGTCCAATACCAATACCTCCGCAGGTCAACGCGGAGTGACCTTTTCACAAATGAATAATGAATATTTTTTTTTGAAAACTTCACAAAATCTTTCAGAAAAAATTAACAAATTTGCATAATACATACAATTTTTTTTTTGAAATATAATCCAATGGGTTCCCTATATATATATATATATAAATATATACATGCATGCCGAAATTGTTTTATGTGCATCGGTGGGGGTTTGGGCCCGTCTTCGTCGGTCGTGGCCTGGCCTGGCCTGGTCTGGCCAATTATGCACCGCGCGCCAAATGGTGAAATCGATGAAGATGCACAAAATGCAAAACGCACTCTCGGCCCGCCTAATGGTCAATATGGTGATGGGGATGGTGATGGCCAGCGAGCTGGCGAGCCGGCTATCCTCATGTACGTACGATATGCTGGTTCCCGACAATTATGGCCAAGCAGGCTGTGTGGAGGAGCTGCACTACAGGTGGGTTGTGGCTCAAATTCGGGTTTTTCGGTAATTTTATTTGTATTCGCATTCGCATTCGGCTAACGAGCTGTGAACGTGATTATAACTGCCAGAGCGACATATGAAAATGATGTTCGAAAAGCAGTTTGGCCAAGGAGCAGCGGCCAAAACAATGGCCAAATCGACCGGGAGCTGTTGCTCTCGGATTAGGCAACGCGGAGTGAAAATATTTGCTTTTCCATTGATCTTCTTGTTCGCCGTGGCCGTTGTTGCTGCTGCTGCTGCTGCTGCTGTGGCATTGTTTGCTAATGCCTTTGGCCCCGGCCACGGTCCGCGGCAATAAAATATGAATTTGTCTGGCACAGCACAGATGCTTTAAGAAGTGAGGCGACTCCATTTGGCCCGTCCCATCTAACGGCAATTGATAAGGCCCCGGAGCAGGTGGGTTCACCTGGCGGGGTCAACAGAAGTCCCTCTGATATTGTTCCGTCGTGTTGTTGTACGGCTGCTGTACTGTTATGGTGCATTTCGGCGGGACTTTATAGGGGATTGGATCGCGGAGGGGAGCCACATACTCGTATATGGCGAGGAATGAGTTAGATTCGGGTGGATCCCATAAGGAATTCGACAGGGAAATGTGGCTTGCAGAACGACTGCTGGCATCTCGCGTTGTCGAGCTACGGGCCATTAATTTGTGTTGAGTCAAATATTGGAATTACCTG